ACGATGTGCAAGCATTGTGCAACACGTTTTGTTTATGCTAACAGCAACATGACCAACATGTCATGCTAACCCCGAAATCCCACATACTCCATCAGCAACCCCCGCTCTGCCCTGCTTTGACCGGCTGCTCAAAGCAAAGCCTACAGCCTCCACTGTGGCTCCCTCCGCTCCGCTCTGAGATCCTTGGAGATGGTAGAGAGCATGCGCGAGATGATTAAATTCAAAGCAGCAAAACATACGGAAACGATCCAGGGTTTCCACGGATCATTTAAGATAATTACAATCCATTATTTTTTGGGGGGATTTTTTCATTAATTTCATACATTTTCGTGGGATTTCGGTGTAACAATCAACATGTATCGAATCGAACCGAAAACCTTGACTACGAAACCGCGAATCGAACCGAACCGTGGATTTTGTGAACCGTTCCACCCCTAATATACATATACATACACACACACACACACGCACACACATACATATACACACATACATGCATACATATATATAAATTGTGTGCAGAATTAATAGGAAAATGAGTATTTCGACCACATCATCCTTTTCATACATGTTGTCCTACTCCAAGCTGTATAGGATTGAAAGCCAACTACCAGGTGGTGTGCATCTCTGTTATGACAAGGGATGTGGCCTAATGACATCAAAACCCTATATAAGGTGTGCTTAATTATTAGGCAACTTCCTTTCCTTTGGCAAAATGGGTCAGAAAAGAGATTTGACAGACTCTGAAAAGTCAAATTTGGAAAATCCCAAGGTTTGAAGCAGGATCATCACACAATCAAGCGGTTCATGGCAAATAACCAACAGGGGCGCAAGAAGAGTGTTGAAAAAAGAAGACGCAAAATAACTCCCCATGAATTGAGAGGAATCAAGCGTGAAGCTGCAAGGAAGCCATTAGCCACCAGTTTTGCCATATTTCAGAGCTCCAACATGTCTGGAGTGCCGAGAACCACAAGGTGCTCAATACTCAGGGACCTGGCCAAGGTAAGGAAAGCCAAAAAAAGGCCACCTTTGAACAAGACACACAAGACAAAAGACAAGCAAGCGGCGCCTCTCCCCCATTGACAGCTGGAGATAGACAAGCAAGGTGGTACTGGCATGGGCTGGTATCACCAAAGATGAGCTTGTGGGACCTTTTCGGGTTGATGATGAAGTCAAAAATAACTCCCAGAACTACTGCCAGTTTCTCTGGAAGACGCCTTCTTCAAACAGTGGTACAAGAAGAAGTCGCCATCATTCAAGAAAAACATGATATTCATGTAGGACAATGCTCACACACATCAAAATACACCACAGCGTGGCTGGCCAGAGAAAGTCTGAACCTCATGGAGAACCTTTGGTCCTTCATGAAGTGTGAGATCTACAGGGAGGGAAAACAGTCCAACTCTCTGAACAGTGTCTGGGAGGCTGTGGTGGCTGCTGCACGCAATGTGGGTCGCAAACACATCAAGGCACTGACAGAATCTATGGATGGAAGGCGTTTGAGTGTCATGGTGAAGAAAGGCGGATATATTGGTCACTGATCTGTTTTTAGTTTTTGAATGTCACAAATGTTTATTTCTGAATTTTGAGTCGCTATATTGGTTTACCCGGTGAAAATAAACAAGTGAGATAAGTATATATTTGTTTTTTATTACATTGCCTAATAATTCTGCACAGTACTATTCACCTGCATATACAGACATCCTCATAAAATGGCCAAATCTAGAAAATAAAAAAAAACAACTTACAAAATAATGAAACTTTGATATCAAGGAGTCTTTTGGGTTGATTAAGAACACAATTGTGGCCCAATGATAAAAATTATTCTCAAAAATACAACTTGCCTAATACTTGCACACAGTGTACACACACACATGTATGTATGTATATATACAGGTGCTGGTCATAAAATTAGAATATCATGAAAAAGATTGATTTCAGTAATTCCACTTAAAAAGTGAAACTTGTATATTATATTCATACATTACATACAAACTCATATATTTCAGATGTTTATTTTGTTTAATTTTGATGATTACAAATGACAACAAATGAAAATCTCAAATTCATCATATCAGAAAATTAGAATATTGTGAAAAGGTTCAAAATTGATGGCCCCTGGTGCCACACTCTAATCAGCTAATTAACTCAAACCACCTGCAAAAGCCTTTAAATGGTCTTTCAGTCTAGTTCTATAGGCTACACAATCATGGGGAAGACTGCTGACTTGACAGTTGTCCAAAAGACGACCATCGACACCTTGCACAAGGAGGGCAAGACACAAAAGGTCATCGCTAAAGAGGCTGGCTGTTCACAGAGCTCAGTGTCCAAGCACATTAATAGAGAGGCGAAGGGAAGGAAAAGATGTGGTCGAAAAAAGTGTACAAGCAAGAGAGATAACCGCACCCTGGAGAGGATTGTGAAACAAAACCCATTCAAAAATGTGGGGGAGATTCACAAAGAGTGGACTGCAGCTGGAGTGAGTGCTTCAAGAACCACCACACACAGACGTATGAAAGACATGGGTTTCTGCTGTCGCATTCCTTGTGTCAAGCCACTCTTGAACCACAGACAGCGTCAGAAGCGTCTTGCCTGGGCTAAAGAGAAACAGGACTGGACTGCTGGTGAGTGGTCCAAAGTCATGTTCTCTGATGAAAGTAAATTTTGCATTTCCTTAGGAAATCAAGGTCCCAGAGTCTGGAGGAAAAGAAGAGAGGCACTTCATCCACGTTGCTTGAAGTCCAGTGTAAAGTTTCCACAGTCAGTGATGGTTTGGGGTGCCATGTCATCTGCTGGTGTTGGTCCATTGTGTTTTCTGAGGTCCAGGGTCAACGCAGCCACATACCAGGAAGTTTTAGAGCACTTCATGCTTCCTGCAGCTGACCAACTTTTTGGAGATGCAGATTTCATTTTCCAACAGGACTTGGCACCTGCACACAGTGCCAAAGCTACCAGTACCTGGTTGAAGGACCATGGTATCCCTGTTCTTAATTGGCCAGCAAACTCTCCTGACCTCAACCCCATAGAAAATCTATGGGGTATTGTGAAGAAGAAGATGCAATACACCAGACCCAACAATTCAGAAGAGCTAAAAGCCACTATTAGAGCAACCTGGGCTATCATAACACCTGAGCAGTGCCACAGACTGATCGACTCCATGCCACGCCGCATTGCTGCAGTAATACAGGCCAAAGGAGGCCCAACTAAATACTGAGTGCTGTACATGCTCATACTTTTCATGTTCATACTTTTCAGTTGGCCAACATTTCTATAAATCATTTGTTTTTATTGGTCTTCAGTAATATTCTAATTTTCTGATATGATGAATTTGAGATTTTCATTTGTTGTCATTTGTAATCATCAAAATTAAACAAAATAAACATCTGAAATATATGAGTTTGTATGTAATGTATGAATATAATATACAAGTTTCACTTTTTAAGTGGAATTACTGAAATCAATCTACTTTTTCATGATATTCTAATTTTATGACCAGCACCTGTATATATATACACACACACATATACAAATATATATACATTATATGTATGTGTATATAAAGACAGAAAATGTTGGAAGGAGGTTTTGTAGGTCTAGTTTAGATGATATAACCTTCCATAGCTGTGATGTGAACTTTTGCCTAAACAACTGCTGTATGTCACCTTTAATAACTGAGTCACGTGACCAGTGAACTTTCCCCCAATTCCACACCGAGGCTGTTATATCATGCATACTTTACAGCTCCTTCAGTCAGTACAAACAGTAACAATCCACAATGCTGATTTATGCAGATATTAAACCAGATAAATATTAAAACTAACATGTTTATTTAAAAAACCAACATGTTTATCATACCTGAGCAGCTTGACTGGCGTAGAGCCGACCGTTTGGTACAGCGAGTACCACCGCGGCTTGACGCTGGCTTCTTAACGCAAAAAGAAAGAAATATAACACCATGTTTCAGTTTTTAGAGGCATTACAGGCGGAGATCAGAAGCTTAAACGTTGCCAGCAGCGTTTCCTCACCCTGACAGCACTGCAGGATTCCTGAGAATGGATCCGCAAACAGCGGAAGACTGGCTGACCTTACGAAGCAGCATGATTTATTTTGTTCTGAAAATGATATTTTAATCGAGTAAGACAAAAAGCAAAAGCAAACACTAAATATTAGCTGACATAAAAGAGGTAAAAAGGTGCCAACACACAGCTAACAGCGACTGTTTCGTAACTATTACAGGGTGGACTGTAAATACCTCCGTTTAGAATCTAGTAAATACGTTTAAACCTTCAAGTTTCTTATAAAGTATTATGACAGAGGCACTCTAAATGTTAGATATTAACTTAATAATTATAAAACTTTATCCTCTGACCGAGTAAAAAGGACCGAATGGCCACTGGATCTGATTTTCCGCCGCTGGTGCTACCGCTGTTATTATGGCTTCTTCTGAGGACTAAAGCGACAGCTTACAATGGTGTCATTGCACCAGCGCCCCCTAGTGGTCAGCCAGATAAAGGTTCCTGGACAGAATACATATTCAGAGCAACTTTTAAATCATCAATGAGTTATTTTCTCACTTCCAGGGAGCAGTAACTTTCCACTTTATTATAATGATTAAACTATTTTGTGCATAAACTATAATAACTTCACTTGGAAATTTTCTTAAATTATCTTGATGCAAAAAAATAAAAAAAATAAAATAAATATATATATATATATATATATATATATATATATATATATATATATATATATATATATATATATAATCAAGTAAATTGACCCAAAAAAAAAGCCCCAGATTAAGATCTGATCAATATGGTCTGATTATAACTTAATAAAATACTTTCTGCTGGTTCTCTATAAAAAAAAACAAAAAAAAACAACTTAAAATTGAAATGTGAAATTGTTCTTCTATCTTGAAAAGCCAAACCAACAGTTGCCGCTCTGTTTAATTTAACAAACCTGCCAGAAAATATAAACACAAAAAATCTAAACAGTCAGGCAGTCAGCTAGTATCAAATTTATTCTGAAAGGCACAAACAAAAGGTGGTGTTATGTAATCAAACAGCGCCCGAAGCGTTCATGTCTTTCTTTTTGTAATGTCCACTCTTCATTTAGCACCTTGATATTTGGATTACACATGATTTATAAAGTCACGCATACAAAACAAAAAAACAAAAAATCAGGTGAATAATGTGAGTCAGAAAGATAAAAACGAAGGATGAGGAGCTTGGATCACATTAAAGATATACACTGAATGTAATTAAACAGGTACCGCCATTGGCCATTAGCATGTGGTATCACATTCAGAACATCATGGTACCTCTAAGGGGGTCAAGAGTAATCAGATGTATTCTCTCGAGTCCCACTGACATGTTTGGACCTTTTCCTTTCACATTAGTGCGTAACGCTTTACATAGGAGCTGTAGGTATCTATATACAGAGACTTTCATTGTCAAACATTTTATGTACCTGGAGTGTTCCATAATGTCTCAAAAAAGTAAGGCACTCATCAATCTGGTGCTACAATGACAGCATACCCCCCCTTTCCTCCAGCATAAGGTGTACCTGGCGCCCTCTAGTGTCCTGCTGTATTCTGTAGGTCTGTTTCCTGGCTCTGAAGCTACTTGAAGGAGGAGGAAGCAGAACATAAGAGTCTTTCTGAACCATTCAGGCAGCTGTGTGCCTGATATGTACTTGGGGGGGAATTAAACTCACTGCCACACCTAATCTGATCTCAGCTAGATTTTTAAAATTCTTGTCATTTTCAACCCTGTTTTTACCTAATTTGTAACAAACGCCCTTACTCTGATGGGCATGTGTGAGCTCACTGAGCAGATAATCGTCACATCAAAGGAACCGTACACATGAACTATCACTCAACACAAAAGGAGAGAAGAAGAAAAGTTAAAGAACTACATGACGTCCACAAAGAACTCGCTGGGATTCCCCATGGCCAGGTGGAACGACTGACGGGAAGCGGTCAACTCTGGAGGCACTGAGCCCAGGTCGCGGGTAGGAGGGGCCCCGGGAGGTCCCCCTGGGGTGGAGGAAGGAGGAGGGGGGAGCGCCTGGTGCATGGGGGCAGCCGATAGCTGCTGCGGGTGCTGGAGAGCGTGGGCGGCCATGGCCGGGTGTGGGTGCTGGGGAACCATCATCAGCATCATGGGGTTGTAGGGCAGGATGCCCGGCGGGTAAGGGGACATGTGGGGAGGCTGCGGCATCCGGTGGTGGTGGGAGCGCTGTGACGAGGCGTGGCTGTGCTCGCTCTGGGCCGAGGAGCCGTGGCCCCGCCTCAGGCTGCCGCGGGTGGAGTACTCGGATTCGCTGCCGCTGCCGGAGCGGGACTCGCCGCCGCCGCCGCCTTCACCAGAGGGGGATTTCTCCCCACCGCCCGCAGTGCTGCCGGGGCCTTTGTTGCTGCGTCGACGCTCGCCCTCGCTTCTGGTCGAGCCGCTGCTTCGGCTCCCTGAAAGAAGGAAAAATCATCAATAAAAAAATTATCAAAATAGCCAGAAGTGGTGCAAACAGAAAGAAAATTTACTTTTTTAGATGCTTTTACTAAAAAACAAGGAATCAGTGAAACTTATTTGGTTGGTTAAAAAAAAATCTTTTTGAATGTTTGATTTAAATAAATGTATTCAAATTTAAAAAGGGACTTTTAAATGTTGCTACTTTATTTAAAGCTGAATTTATTTTGGAAACAATCCTGGCTGCTAATAAGGGTGTGCTGCATGTTATGATGAAAACATGTTTAGGTTCGGTACGAAACATTCAGTGCATGTTTACACCTGGATGTGAAATCTGGCTCCAACACAGAAGCAGCAGAACACGACTTTAGAGCTAAAATAAAAATCTGATTTAGTTAGAAACTGGCTGTTTATCTTTTGACATTGAGGTCAATTCACCACTGTTCAAAACAGGAAAGACAACAGAATATTTTCTAGAAAGACTTTTTAACCACTAATATAAGTGATTAAATATTATTTTGACAAACTGAATGCAAACTTCCAAATCAACCGGCTCGTAATGCTTGTTTGCATGTTTTAATAAGTGTCTGAAGTTCTAGACATCAACAAATATTAAAGTGAAGCTAGATTGTGATTTGGCAGCAAGATCACCTGGGGTTCGTTTCATGAAGCAGGTTTAACTAGTTCAGATTAAAATCTGCAACTCTAAATTGATCTTACCTAAAGTCGGAAATTGTTCGGTTTCACAACGGCTGCTATCAATTACTTCAATCAACTCTAAGTAGGTCCACTCAGATTTAAGCAGGTGTGTAACAAGTATTAAAAGCCATTATCAGTGGAGCACCGATTCGACATGTCACCATGACAACAGGAAGTGCCTATTTCACCGAATTGGAAGTAGAGATTTTAATGAAGGAATAAAAAAATAAAAAAAGAAGAATGTGTTTAAAAGACTGAGAAACAGCGCTACAGAAGAGGAATATGAAGAAGGAGAAGATCGTTGCTCGAGCTAATGCATAAGTTTATACGAAGTGGGCTATGGCAGGCCGATTTTATATATATATTTTAATTTCAAAACTAAAACTAAAAAACAAATTTGGACATCCTCTGCGTCATATCGTGTGTCCGCACCACTATGGATGTGGTACAATACAGTACTAAAACATACGCATGCAATCCCTCTCAATAAATTTCCCTCCTCATTATTGTTATTACGACTATTAGGGAATAAACCTGTTCTACAAGCAAAAGGCATGAATGACAAGGAAGCCCAGACAACAGCTGAGGCTACGTTCACACTGCAGGCCTTACTGCTCACTATCCAATGTTGTTTGCGTGGACGTTTACATCTCTAAATAACAGATACGTATTGATATAGCACCATGTAGCCAAGCGGTCTGGGTCGCTTTTTAAAAAAAATTAGATCTGTGTTCAGACCGTCAAGAAAAGATCAGATACAGGTTGCATGTGGGTTAAAAAAATGGGAAGAATTCCTATGGCAGATATGTACCAAAAATAATAGGTAGTGTTTTACTAAAAAGTCAGGACTTAAAGCTGAAGTCTGTAAGTTTTTAAAAATCACTTTTTTGTCATATTGGCTAAAACTGTCCCTACCCCAGACAGCAGTACATGTGATATGTAACCTGTGAAAAAAACTGCTTTCAATTTCAATCTGGAAAGAATAATTCGGGACGAGTCAAAACAACCAATCACAGCCGGAGGAGCTTCTGATGGAGTGTCAATCACAGAATGTTTTTAGAGCATAAACAGTAGTGTATAGGATTTCCTAAAAGCGCGTTTACGAGTCTACGGAAACCGCGGCAGACCAAACCAGATGAAAGTGCGCATTCAGCTCGGCAAAGAACTCATGCTCTTCCTCAACACTGAAGTCCTCAGACATTTTTCTTTCGTTGTTTCTTTCTTTGCACAGGTAAACAGCACATTTCTTCTTCTACGCTTGCATTATCGGCAGAGCAGACGCTGAATGCGCACTTTCATCTGGTTTGGTCTGCCGCGGTTTCCGTAGACTCGTGAACGCGCTTTCAGGAAATCCTATACACTACTGTTTATGCTCTAAAAACATTCTAAATGACTTCGTTTCGAGTAAATTCTGGATGCTACCCACTCAGGACACTTTGAATACATTGGACGAGCAGTATGGAGGAATATTGACACGTTTTTTGTGGACTTTTATGGACCTTTCTGCCTCGGGCGCTGGGCACCTCCATTATTTGAATGTCAGCAGACAGCAAGAAGCCTCCCAGATCTCCAGATGCATTTGAGATATCAAAAAAGTACTCCAGAGTGTTGTTCAGCATGGGGGTGAGTAGAAAATGAAGGCTAATCATGTTTTGGGTGTACTATTCCTTTAATTGGCTTCTCTAAATTCTCCTTTGGTGTGAGTAAGTGTGTGAAAGGGTCTTTATCCTGTTTGTCTCTGTGTTGCCCTGCGATAGACTGGCAACCAGGGTGTACCCTGCCTCCCCCCCCATTGACAGCTGGAGATGGGCACCAGCAACCCCTCGCGACCCCAGCAGTGATAAGCGTGATGGAAAATGGGTCCGTTTTCCGCTTTAGATTCCTCATTACAAGATCAAAATAAATGGCCGGCCCGTACACAGACCATGGACCAACAGCACTTCCTCATTAAAGACCAACTTACACCCCCTCAAAAAGAGGGGTTGTTGGTTGAGCTGCAGTCAGCAGATGAAGCTCTGATTAGGGCTCTGTTTTAAAAACTACGAGCATTTCTGGGTTATTCCAATGTTGATGGACGATGATGAAGCTAAGAAACCCTTCAACTTCAGAGTTTTGCATCTAGGAACTGTACTTTGTGTCTCTAACAGTAAGGCCGAAGGACGAGCTCACCTTCACTGTGCTGGCTGCCCGTGCTGCCTGGGGCGTAGCTATAGCTGCTGAGCTCGTGGTACGGAGGCGGCTGGCTGGAGTAGGGATGTGCTGCGTAGGGCTGATAGGGGAAGGTGTGCATCATAGGCCAGGGGGAGGCGCCCGGGAGCGGCAGGGGGGCCAGGGTGTCCTGATCGGAGGCGCCGCTGGAGCCATCATTGTCATTCAGTGACAGATTGGCCATGTCTGGATAGGGGATAAAAAAACAAGAACACAATTTAACCTCTGAACACAGACTGACCTAGAGGAGATGTCCTTATGTTATCTTATGTTTATAAACAGATCCCTCCACTCACAGTTCTCACAGTCGCTCAGGTCTCCGAACACGTAGTAGCACTGCTCGGAGAAGGTGATCTTGTTGACAGTGTGTCGGATGAAGCCGGCCTTCAACAGGTTGCTGGCATACTTCCTGGCTTCCCGGCGGTCCTGGAACCCCTCGATGTGATGGAAGAGCCACTCCACTACGTCTGAGCCTGAGGTTGAAAAAACAGAGAGTGATTCTCAAAGGAAGACAACAACAAAGGACAGTGACCGCTGATACAGCTCCAGATGTTTACACAGTCACCATGAGCATAAATGGTTTCACTATCAATGATTCATTGGAACCCAGGCCCAAAATAAATGAACATGTATTAATATGGATTTAACAATAAGCATCTCTAAGCATGGTGACCTTTCCACAAACTGTTCTTAACAGTAAAATGCTTTCAAATTGTTTCTCACCCAGCAGAATCCACACCTAGCTGATGTTTTAATATCTTCTGGGATTAATCTACTCCACAGCATGACGCGGCTTCCGCCGTGCTTAAGGACACATTTAAACGCCTGCAAACACGCTTCCTGTCATGACAACCATACATCCTGGTCGTTTTCTTGTCTGACTAGTAAACATTTCTCCAGGAGGAGTCCGACTTTGCAAAGTGGGCAGCTGCAAATTCCTACTGAGCTTGAAATGTGAAGCAGGTGTTTCCCTTCTGGTGAGCAGCGCCGCAGTCCAGAACACATGCTTCTCTGACCTCTTCTATGGCTGGGCCCCAAAACTGCCCTATACTGCACTCTCAGGATTTTTATCACACATTTACTCCCACAACAGAACAAACTCGGTGAATTTAAAGACCTTCTGAAAGACATTGAAGAAAATAGCTTAATTAAAAACCAGTCAAGCTGAATGCTCAATTTTATAGTTTTAAAGCTATAAGAGTTTCTGTGATGATAGGAATCCAAATGTTTCAGCTTTCTGAACCGGTTGCACTTGGAAGAGATTTTAAATGTGAAAGTGGTTTTATCTGGATAAAAAAAAAAGGTTTAAAAACAGAGAAAGAGAGAGAATGGATTCTTGGAGGCTCTTCAATTGGCGTACAGGGGCGAATGCAAGGCTGTATCACGCTGTAAGTTTTTCATATCAGTTAATATTAATAACTATCAACTGTTTTATTTAGATGTTTGACATAAGAGCCAAAGGAAAACAAAGATCCCTGAGTGCAAAAACTAAAATGTGTGATTAAGCTTGAATTTAAAATCTACACCCTAAAAAAAAAAAACGAAAGTCCATCCTGTTATCCACATAGTTTAAATGCGTCACTGGGCTTATGATAAACGATTAAACGTATAGTCAGCACTGAAGCTACAGTGCTTAGAAATAGATAAAAGTCCTGAAGCTGAAGAACTAGAGAAAACAGAAACATTACAGACAGCAGCCATGTCTGCAGGCCCAAAGGTTCAGGAATGGATGTGTTCTGATGAGTTTGGATTAAAGAAAAAAACAAATAATCGGATTGCACCATTTCTATGGACATAAATAATCTGAATAAAAAGGCCAAGAATATGCTGATAGTATCCAGCATATAGGAGGAAACACTCAACATTGACACGGGTTGCATGCTGGTCTCAGGTCAGCTTGACTCTTTCAGTATAACTTGTTCATGACAAGTCTTTACATGCAGCCGATCAGATAGTTAACTGTTATAAAGCACCCATCTCAGTTACATTACACATGTATTATTCTGATCCCACAATACTGGATCAGAATATTCTAACGGACATGTTTACATGACACATCTTTACTCTGATTACTTATGTTTATCTAAGCATAGCTGATGATTAACACCCCTATGGCCTGAAGCCATGATTTTAGTACTATAGCAATCTACGTACAATATGTATTATTCTATTAAAATGATAGTAATATCCTAATTCCCAGATAAAAATCCTTAGATAACAGTTCGTCCTTAAAATCTGCGGGCTGCAGGATTTCAGAACGTTATAAAGTCAGGGAAAAACAATCTGATGACACATTGGGAAACAAAAATCAAAAGAAAAAACACTAATCTGGACAAACTGCTGCAGGTGATTCCAATTTGGCACATGTTTCCAGTCAGAACAAGCATTCCCGTTTGTGGGATTGGGATTTTTCCCCCCTCCTTTCTCTCTTTCCTCTGCAGGTCACACGGTTTTAATTCAGGGAACATAATGGCCGACCTGTAATGTTCTGTGAGACACAGAGAGTTAAGTTTTCAGGGTTTTTTTGTTTTTTCTTACCCAGGAAAGCGTTAGGGATGGTGATTTTAAGCCACATGCGATCCCTGACCTCCAGACCTGACTCAGGGGAAGCCATCGCCTTGGCTACTGACGCCATGTCAGAGTGAAGCGACAAGCTAAAGTCATCGAAACCTGGAGGAGAAAAGATAAATAAAAAACACCTATTAGCCTGAAGAAATCGAGAAAAATCCTTTAGGAAGATGAGAGGAAATGCTGGTGAAAGGTTAGGACCTACGTTCGGTCTCTGTGACGGAGGAGGAGGAAGTGATGGTGCTGAGGGAGGAGCTGCCCGGATAGGGAGGGAAAGCCCCGGTCATCGCCACAGAGTGGCTGACCCACGCCGCGGGGTCGATGGGTCGGATCGGCTCATCTACGCAGACAGAGGGAGAAGCGGACGGCACAGCTGACCCACTGCAACTTTTACCCGCCATAAGTTCAGATGTACGATGTACTTACTGCGAGGCAGCGTGAAGTACCCTTGGGGAGACGGGTCCCAACACTTGGCCACGGTCAGTATGATTGGTCTGTCGGACACAGAGATCAGTTCATGTCATAGAACGCAGAACTAGAACCATCCAGACTGTGAGAGTGAAAAACGCACCCCGGTTTATGTACGATCTCTCTGAGGACGCGTACCGCATCATCGTTGCTCATGTTTTCAAAGTTGATGTCGTTCACCTTGACGTGAATATGAAAAAACACAAATAAAAACAGCTGCTGCAGATTCGAACACAAAAACATCATCAGAGACGACAGCGTCTCCATGGTTATCCCTCCCTCCACACCTGCAGCAGCATGTCCCCGGGTTCGATGCGTCCGTCTGCAGCCACGGCGCCGCCTTTCATGATGGAGCCGATATAGATGCCGCCATCGCCTCTCTCGTTGCTCTGGCCCACGATACTAATACCCAGGAAGTTGTACTTCTCTGCATTTTCCAGGAATCAAAGCAGATTATTAAAAATAAATTCACCCTCTCATCTTTGTGAGTCGTAAAACGATTCTCTAAATAAGCGGGTACAGACCCATGTTAAGAGTGACAGTGATGATGTTCAGGGACATAGTGGAGTCCGTCACGCTGCTGAAGGACGACGCCTGAAGTAAAAACACACTAAATTACTATAACTGTGCTACTTTTACCAAGTTCTAAACAGAGAAACAGAATGCAAAATTAGAGGTACCCTCTCCAGCCGCGGGGGGCGCTGTTTCCTCCGCCGGCGGTGTCGCTTCAGAAGTCTGGAGGCGGTGCTTTGCTCCGTAGCACTGCTGAACCTGCAGGTTCACATGATGAAAGAGTCAGACAGGAGTTACCTGAACTACATCTGAAAACAGATTTACTTTCCTTTCCCTTTGTTCCTTTTCATTGCATGAATTAAGACTTCATGAAAATAAAAGTTGCCTGAAATCCCAAAGAAAACCAGCTATGAACTAGTCCAAACGCTTAACTTTTTGAGCATTTATAAATACATTTTATAAATTTGTTGTTTGACTGAGTTGGACCTTTGGTAAAGATTGAACTGAACTTCTTTTCAAGTTATTCTGGACACAGAGAGACAGGCACACAAAGTCTTCTAAAAAATACAATCCTTGGCAGAAATAAATATAGTAACTCTTAACTAACTAAAATAATTTATAAAGATTTTTAAAAAATCTATTTCAAACTCTTTTGTTTCTCTATGTTGAGATAAAAGGATTTTGCTTTTTTTTGGAATTAATGGTTTATCCCCTTGATGCATCAAGATGACCTGAGCTAAAGCTAGTTTGTTTGGATTTAATACATACTGATCTTAAAATATCATCATCATCCAGAGGTAAACTAAACCTGTATGTTGAGAAAAGCAGATTTAAACCGTGTTTTTTTCACATTAGTTGACATTATTTCAACTTTCAAATGCACACATCATCTAAGAGATGAGCATAATGCATAAGTCCTGAATGCTAGGCTCAACGTGCCCCTCAAGGCTGTGTGCTCGGCCCAAACCTCTATGCCTGGTACATCTGCCACCGCAGTCTGACCTACAGCTCAAACATCACTCTGCATGCCTGAACACATGCCTGCTAATGACTTTTTAATCTACCATTTTTTTCTATGTCACACTGACTGCGCATAGAGAGGCTCCGACTAGGCAGGGTGAGCAGATCTGTGCAGATTTCTTTCACTTCTCTCTGTGTGCTATACACAAATTAAAACAATTTCCAAATTTGACTCGGATAGATTATGAAAAGTTGTAAAACAAATAAATAAAACAACACTGCCGAATTCTATAAAGCAAAGCCCCACTTGACGAGTCTGTGCAGCATCTCAAACCAGATCAGATAGAGAATGTTCAAGTGCCTATAGTAGAAACATTCAGAGATCTACATCTTTAGAAAAGAAAAACAGCAATAAACGTTGTGGGACGTTTATTGCTGACTATATATATGCTGACTAGGGCTGGGTGAAAAAATCGATTCCTTTACATTTTTGCAAAATCTATGTCTAGGGAATGAGATCGATTAGTACATGACGTTCACATTCAAGTGAGCAGGAAAGATGCACTCAAGATCACTTCAAGCCAGACAGCTGCAAATATAGCCAATAGGTTAACTGAAGACATAAACAAATGGGGACTGACCAGCAAACACCCTGTAGTTGTTACAGAAAACGCTACATATGGTTTGTGCAGTGGAGATAATGCAGCTCATGCATGTGAGTGAGGCTTCATGTTTTTCCCACTTTTCACAAACAAGTTTGCACTTTTGAGACAGTTTTGTTCACATATCAAGTTTAAACTGTCTGATTTACAAGTTTGCACTTTGTGTTTAACGCGATAGGAAAAAATCAAATACATGAGTATTTTGAAACACAGTTAAACCACTTTCATTATTGTAAAAACAGATCGAATCTAAATTAATCAATTAGAACTTTATTAATTAAAATCGAATTGATTCAAGACTTTGGCGAATATACCTAGCGTTAACGCTGACTGAGGCAGAGAGGTGAATCTGGGAAGTTTATTGAAGTTTTTCTTTGTTTCTTAAAGAGGTGAGAGATACGCCGCTCTCATCTGATTTTTCTGCCTCTCGTTAGTTTATCTATGTCAGGCTGAGAGAGGATCACCATTTTACTATATAAGTGTTTTTCCTACTTCTGAAATAATTTTTTCTAAGGAGATTGATAAACTGCGCTTTCTGTAACCTCCTTGTTTCTGCGAGGCTAAAAGAGGATCACTACTATAACCATTTTCTGTTCTCTGAACTATCATGGGTAAAGTATTATATTTTTAATGTTTCATTCATTGTTTTTGCACAAGTCTTTCCCGCTTACTATATACCCAATGTCACGACTCTAAAACTGACTCTTCTCCCGTGCGATTAACAGATTTTATTTTGTATTTTTCCCACAAAGCGGATTGTTTTTTACTATGTAACCGCATCTCTTGATTCTGAATTGCTGCATAGTCTGACTAAAATAAACCTGGGGTCTATCTCATTGGGACCTATACAGCTCCTTTTCGTAAAAATCATGTCAGGTGTGATAATCCCCATTGTCTTTCAATGAGCGTCAAACGCCATGACCTCGTCCGACAATTTTCTGTTGGATTGGACTCAGAATTGGATTTGGTGTGTTCTGGCCTTTAGCCTGTAGTTGTGGTCTCATTAACTTGAAGCACATTTGGAAGGTGTCCCATGATCCTCCCTGACCTCCAATTAGACAGAGTGTGAAACTTCTCTCCAACAAATAAACATTTTGCTGAAATCCTTTTAAATAGTGACAAAAAAAAATGCTAAACTTCATTCGCCTAGATCAGAAATACATTTGTTACTTATTTTAAAGTGTTGAAAGTTATAAAAGGCTTGATAAAGTGATATTTATCCAAAAGAGAACAATACATAACATCAGGTATGAGGACAACTGACCCATTTCCCATTCACCAGAGTTACATAAACTTTAAATTAAATTGAATGGAGGTGAAGTGTTTCTATGAGATTTCTAATATCAGAGATTTTAGAGGCAGGCCAATATATTTCAATTAGGGGTCAGCAATATGGCTTAAAAATATTTTAAAAAAAATTCCTAAAGATTAATCATTAATCAATTATCTTCTCATTTTAAGGTTCAAAATAAATTATTTATATTGCATAAAAAAAAAAACAAAAAAAAAAAACAACCCTTCTGGGAGGTTTCAAAAAACTGAAATCTCATGAACAAAAGTTTGACTAATTAATCAACCAGCCTTAATTCCAATATAAATATTTTTAGCGGCTATTTTTAGCGGCTAATAACTAGGGTAAAAAAATACAAAGGAAGAATAAAACAGACAAAAATATTATAACATGCACATAAATAAATACTTGAAAATATAATAAAAAATAAAGTTGAAGATTATAAAGGACAAAATAAATAAATAAGGTAAATATTACAGAGGCAAATTAATAAAGAAGCTAATTAAGAGTTATATACATTTATGTTTCACTGTATAATTTAATTTCTACTTACATTTATTTGTTTATTGTATTTTTGGTGGCAATTAATTGTATGCTTATTTATTTATTGAGCATTTATTTATTTATTTCTGTATTTATTTTTAAATATGGCAGAGTTGGTCCTCCATAGTATCGGACCGATTTCTGATATCAATATCTGATCGGTACATCCCAACTGTAGGGAACCTGAATGAGTGAATTGGCTACTTTTCATGCTCAGTCCTGGAATAGATGCAGAATTTGCCAAAGTAAAAACTAAAGTTTACAGATTATACGGTGAAGCAAACAAAGGTAAAACCAGTTTGACTACATAGAGGAAATATATCCACAAGCAGCCAGGTTAAGCCTCCATCCTTTACCTGCTCATGGTGTCGTCATCATCAGAGTCACAGAAACTGGTGGTCTCCAGCTCGCTGCTCATCACCGTACTGGAGCTCTCGTATCCTGCCAGGTGGCGCTCCAGGCGGCTCTGACCGTTCATGCGGGGGCCTTCAAATAAACAGAAGAAAAAAAGAAAATATTCTCAAGTTTTTTATTTGTTTCTGTTTTCCTCTGCGAGTGGAAAACATTCCACAGTAGAACATTCCTTGATTTTATCTCTCAGTGTTTGGAGGATGGAGGGAGGCCCAATCTGGATAAATCTCCGTGATAATGGACTGTTTTTGCGAACGCTGAGATGTGCAGTTTCTCACCATGCTGCTCCACGTTCTCTCTGTGCCGGGGCCTCTCCCTCCTGAAGGAAACCACAGACTCGGTTTCAGTCTGCTCGTCCAACGTCTCCACGCTGCCCGTAGCATTGGGACTGCAAAGAGCCACACTGAAATTCAATATTTAAACTATTTTCTTTGGTTATTATAGCATTGTTTTGTTTTTTAAGGTTATACTATAACCTGGAGGAGTTGTCTCCACACATTATGAGCCTGTCTTTAAACAAAGCGCACCTGATGGTTAGCTTTTAGTTACAGCCAATGATCCGGTTACCTGTCACCTCAATGAGGTTTTTCACTTCTAATACAAACATCTGATATGATCTTATCACATTACAATGAATCCAGAAGCAGTCTGAAACTGAAGTGTTCATCTCCTGTGGCTTGAGTCTCTCAGAGAGGATCACATAACAGCAGATCCATCGGCGGCTCAGGTAGAAGCAGCGATTTGTTTTATAATGAAGACGAAACCCAATACAGACACAAAGGCAAATGTTGTGCTGGATGTTAAACCCATAGAGGTAATTCCATCATAGTGTGAAGAAGGAGCCATTGTCTTCCACTTCAGTGTGTTTTTTTTTTGCATCATGAAATAAGACTTCCTCCTATTTGTTTGTCTTTAATCCAAATTAAAAAAATCGTTAAAAAAAAAATAAAATAAAATGGTTGCTACACATTAGATATCGCTTTGTATTATTGTTTTTATAACCAAGTTACTTCAGGGGGAGGAATGATGTCACACCTGACGTCGCAATGTTCCAGTAAAAAGCCAGGAAACCAGTTAGATTTGCAGTTTGTTGTGCTCAGTGATAGGACTGTTTTACCATGGCACCTCCAGGATGTTTCCTCCACCCACAAATACACAAATTTGAAGAGTAGTTGTATTAAGACCCCTCGTCTTGGACACCCCTAAATAAAATCCATTCCTCATGAGTTTACCGTTTCCCCTGCAGTCGCTCCTCCTTCATCTATGGGTCAAAATCATGAAACATACTCAAGATTATTATTTATAAAACTATTGTGCAAATCAAATACACATACATGTATAATTTTTTTGATAAAAAAAAAGACTTGTTTAACTTCTAAACATGGTACTTAATCAGAAACATAGGTGAGATTTTTACGGCGTCTGCGGTCTGAATCATACATAGACTCCTCTCTAGTCTGTGATCATTTCAGGTCTTTGCTGTCATGTAAAGAAAGCTAAAAAAGAAGCTAATGGTGAACAAACTGTTCCCCATGCTCATATTTTTAACTATTCTTCATAAGGCTTAAGCAAACTTTCTTTTACTAAGGGTTTAAACAGTAATATCACATTGATATTTACGCCCATTGCATTTGATTACCAAATTATGAAGGAAAAAAAAGGAGTCCCAACATGTCTGCTAGCTTCTAACTTGCTTCACCAGACCTAGCTAAATAAGCTAGGTGGTCTTCAACATAACTTTTCCATCAGGGACATTCAGACAAGGTTAAGAATCTTGAATTTGTGTTGTGAATTGATTGGAACACATTCCAGTTGCTCTAAATCAGTTAAATGTAATCAGACCTCATTTCTATTTCTTCAAGATAAACCTTGGTTCTCAAACATAACAACTTTGCTGTGAACTGTGACACTATTTCATTATTTTATTGATTATGGATTTGGAACATGTTCACTCCTTCTTCTTTGTGTTCATGATAACTTAGTTTAGTTGAGTTTCAGTAGTTTAGTCAAAAGTTTTTAACTAAAATTTGTTTTGAGTTTAATGATTTTTATCTTAAAAAGTATAGAGGAGGATCTTCGTGAATTTTTGAAAAGACCCTCCCCTCCACTTAAAAAAAAATTCACATGTACAACCCTTTACCTGCTCCCGAGAGGTAACGTCTGTTAAACACAAGCCCATTTCTACTTGTGCACGCTGTTTAAAAGTTGCTGCTTGCATCGCTCATACAAGCTTACTTTCCAAAAGAAGATTTGCAATTTTTCCTCGATGTCAGACTCACCAAGTAAGTGAAAACGGGAAGAGCACATTGGACGGCATTACGTAAACATATCAACAGAATGATTGTATGGAAATAAATCTGTGTCGCTGGGATTTGAATAAAAAATGCCACTGAAATTTAAATGTATGTTCGTACTTACTCTTTCAGTGTTAAAATATATTCAGAACACATTTTTGACCTAAAAAAAATTAATTGTCATTATTTCTACACAGTTGAAATTTCATTTGTTATTTCCTCTCTAAGCTAAAAATTCACATTACTATTTCAAAGTGATTACATTTTCAATACTTATTTTTCAGTGTTAAAAAAAATCTGCATATAAAAAAAATTCAACTCAACTACATAAAAATGAAAGTAATAAACTCACTGTTGAGTTAGCGTTAGCTAGCATGACCGGCTCCGACATGCTGGTTTTCCTTCCGTATGAGCGCTACAAGCGTCACGTCACGCGACGCGACTAAGAAAACGTAACAGGATTGGCTGGGTGTTGGACACCACAATCCATTGCTAATGTCTGTGACCTTCCCTTTTTACACTGAATTTAGACGCCGAATTTAAGACAGTGAAATAGAGCCAGTTGAATCTCAGGAGGCTGAAAATATTAAGTTTGAATTTTGATAGGTTGAATTTTTTTATATGCAGATTTTTTTAACACTGAAAAATAAGTATTGAAAATGTAATCACTTTGAAATAGTAATGTGAATTTTTAGCTTGAAGAGAAAATATGAATTTTGTAGCACTTTGAGATTTTGTTGAAATGTAAAGTGCAATACAAATAAAATGTATTATTATTATTATTAAAATAAATTAAATTTCAACTGTGTAGAAATAATTAAGTCAAAAATGTGTTCTGAATATATTTTAACACTGAAACAGTAAGTACAAACATACAACATTTAAATTTCAGTGGCATTTTTAATTCAAATCCTAGCGACACAGAATTACTTCCATATGACTGACAATTAGGAGGAGCTCTTATTTTGATGATCCACCTGGAAAAAGAACATCCTGCACTACACCTTTAAGGTTTAATAGGAAGTTGTTGTGAATTTATTTTTATATATGTGCAGAGTTAACCGTCTAACCATTACTTGAGCTTGATTCACACTTTGACACAGCTAGTCAGACATGTGTTCAAAGGACAATACATAACAGTCTGAGAATTATTTGATTATATAACAAAAGTGCCAATGTAAAGTATTTGATGAAGGTAAAATTGATGAAGTCTACAACCTCACAGTCCTTTCAAAACAATAAGATGAAAAATAAAGAGGATGATTGGAAAGCAGCACATAGTTTTTCATTCAGTACATCAGCTAAATATAAAGCTTTAGTTATGGAAGCTTTTGTTTGTCACATGGTGGTTCCATGCAAACCACAGCAGAACTAACAAACCCACCACTTGTAGCAGCTGCAAATCGAGACCTTTCAATGACAGTCATCGGGGGGGGGGGACTCCAAAGCTGTCTTTCTTACACAGTCAGTAGATAGGCTAAGGTTTGCTTAGTGCTTAGTCAGTAAATGCTTTTCTGTTCATTTTGTAGAGAGTTAACGTGCTTTTTCACTGCAAATCCGGTTTAATCCCAACCTTCAGCTCAACAATAATCATGTGACTGGCTGAATGTGAGACGTACAAGCAAATCTGCTTATATTCACCTCAGCTGGTTTTTATTCCCCGTAAAGCTCGCTGTTGTCTGGACTCCAGAACAATCACGAATACAAAGAAAGGAAGGAAAAGCTACAACAGGGAATTTAACTGCTGATTAATTCCCCCAGTAGCTAGTGGACAATCTCTTCTCTTACTCCCCCTTTTCTCTGCAGCTGGGCTGGGCTTCTGTAGGATCACCCCCCCTCCTCTATCGTACATCTCAATGGGAATCTGAGGTTCTTCCACATAAACCAACCTGCCAAACAGGTAGAAGTGATCGGATGCTCCGATCACTTCTACACATCCTTAAACCTCATGGATTTACAGAAGTTGCTCTTGCTTGGATGATAAAACTAAACCCTGTAGATTAAGAATATCATGTGATCAGAGGTCCTTAACATTTAGAAGTAGAAAGAAAAGTTATTTTGTTTTCTAACAAACCAGAAATTTCAATCCTAGTCCGACCTAAAAGCAAAGTTTAGCTAACATCATGTCTACCTTTGTAAGAGCGGGACAGAAAAAGCTTATCAAATTCAGACCCCCCACCAAACAAATAGCTAATGGTTATTCTGGAGGATTACTGACTCTAATTTCCCCCCTTTGGATTAGCTTTGAAGACTTCTCACTGCCTAAGCTCACAGAATTCACTTTTTAAATCAATGCTCTGACTTTGTAAAAACATACATTAGCTTGGCCTCAACAAATACATCTCATCATTCCTACTTTTAGGAGCAGCCTAGAAAAAAACTGAGAAGTTTTGTTAAGTGAACCTTAAAGGAAACTGAAATTTTTCAAAGCTTTTCGATCCAATCAGCAATAAAGTTCTGCTGTATTCTTCATACAGACAACCTGAGATTTATATATCGGGGTTTATACAGGAATGAATACTTTAGTGCTTTAAATGCTGTTAGAAACAATTTTAATAACATCAACAAGTACCCATGACCCTGTACCGTCGACAGGCTGCAGCCATGTCCTGAATTCCTCGTTTTCCAGCCACTTTAGTTTTTTTTTCGGCCTTAAGCTTCTTTTCTGAACGTACAACTTTACGATCAACCGGAAGCAGTTCCTCGCTTATATTGCAATATAATATATCTGAATATAGAATAGAATAGAATTCAAGAATATGTGTATATAACATATGTAAAATTTTCTTTAACATATTTAAAAAATTATAAAATAAAGGATTTTATATGCCACGACAATCACATTTAATGATTTTTAATCCCAATTAAGGCCTTAATTTAAAAAAAGAATAATAAAATTATTTTTAATGACCTGTGGAAACCCTGTATAATAAAAGGACAAACTAGTTTACACTAAACTTTAAGTTCAAGGTCTTGAAATTCAGCATCCAGGTTACGTCTGACAGAGTTTATGTGAAGATAAACAAGTGCTTTGCTCACTGAAAGGAGGGAGGTCTGGAGTCCCCAATCCCCCCGGTCCTCTCTGCAGGCGGGGGAGGCAGGGGAGGCGGAGGTGGTGATGGCTGGGAGGCCGTTTCCACAGGGGGGACCACTGCAACAGGAGGCTCTGCAGCTGGAGTCTCTGATGATACCAACTAAGACAACAGACAGGGGGGGGAAAACTCAGCTCAGAGAAACAGGAAGATTGAACAGAACAATAAAACAAATGGAAACAAATCAATACACCCAGACAGAAAGTGAGGAAAATCTGCAAGATGAAGGAAACGGCTTTGATGTCAATTACTTTGACATGAAAACACTCGACTCCTTTCAGGCAATCGTCTCAAGGGTGAACCGAAACGCTATCCTACACTTAACCTGCCTCCCTTCATTATGCGGGGAAATCTGGCCACTCACACGAACAGCGACAATTAGGATGAAAGCCACACGGCATCAGGTTACAGGGCATATAAAACAGACAGGAAAGGGAAGGAGCCAGGAAAATAGAAGGATTAATGGTTGTGATCCAGTCCTCTCATCACTTTATTGCTGCACAGCCCATGAAATATTCTGGGAAACACTTTCTTTATATTTCTCTTCATGTTTACAGCGAAGTAGCAGTCAAAATCTAGATGTGATAAAGAGCATTTTTCTATAATTCAGCTCTGCCTGTAAAAGTAACTCCAAATCGGATTGATCAGCACATGTAGACAGAACTGGGATCACATATCAGCTCATCTGCTCTGCAAGCTTTGTTCTTATTTTCCTTTAATGTTATTTTTTTTTCTCATCTTATGGATTTAACAGATGCTTCTGCCTCAGACCTGCTTTTCTAGGCCAAGTCCCAAAGTTCTGCCTTTCTTCGGCTCCAAGCAGCAGGGTGGGGTAAAAAAACAGCTGGGAGGATAGGAAAATGTTGCAACTGTACTTGGCAAATCACTTTACTGTATCTGTTCACAGGCTGTGCAACATAGAGCTACGTTAGAGGACCATGATGTAGATTTTTTTTCTCCTTTTAAATCTAACCATCACTTCTTTGGTCTTCGAGATGACAGTTGTCATCTGCACAGCCCCACAATCCTGCACTGCAGAAAACTGTCAGTTTTTCCTAAAGTAGGTCTATTTTCCCCTTAATATTTTCGCAGGTGAGTCTATTTCCAAATGAATTAAAATGATTTATGGTTGAAGTAAAGGAAATAACTGTATTATCTTGTTTCAAGTGCATAGTATTTGATCATTTTTATTTTAACGGTCAGATCATCGTATTTGCCTACTCAAATTAATACATCTTTATAAGTTATTACTTTTATATCAGTTTTTGCAGAGTCTTGCCTGTATGCTGACTTATTGCTAGGAAGTGGAAGGATAAATCATTCAGTATTCCTATAGGTACTGACTGAATCCACCAGTACCACATGTTACATATCCATGTAAAATCAATCTACAAAACACACAGCATCACATGCACAAGAGAGGGATGACGTCTAGGACTGCTGCTACGGTGAATGAAGCAAGCGTGGCTAAAAGAGGGCGCTCTAGAGTATGGCTCTATTGGCCAACGCGCTGACCAATGAGCTCAACTGACTGTGACGTAGGAAGCGCAACAGGAAGCTAGTGGGGGAGTGTAAACAAACAGATTGTCGGTAAAACGGCGAATACGTCCTTCTTAAAAATTAATGAGCGTAGAGCCTCTTCCTGCTCACGTTTCAATGAAAACCCCAAGTCTAATCCTTCCAAAACTGATTCCAAAGCTGAGTCAAACGAGAACTGTTCAATAGTTGTTGCCATCTTGCCATTTGTGCTTTCTCCAGCGTCGCGTCATGCCCTCAAAACCCCGCCGACTTTGCAACCAGAAATTCAAAACGCATCTCTGCGTTGTGATTGGCCCCCCAGTTCTAGGGTCCTAGGCATTGTTTGAGGGTAGACCAAGATCACAGGCAAAAATTATTTTTGCCGCTGGCGTGGCGGGTTGGGCTAGTTTAATAGGCTATAAAAGATGTCTTTTGATCGCGGTATTAATCTAGCTGCTGTTTACCGCCCGCAAAAAAAAAAAGTAAATAATTAAAAAGAAAAAAAAAGAAAGAAAGAAGGTGTGTATTTGCAGCAGATTCAGGGTCATGTCTGCTAGGAAGTTTGTTGGTCGTGGCTGTGAACGCACGGCGGATCCATCACCTTCACGCTCACCACATGATGCCAATGAAGTGTGGAGAAGAACAGACTGTTTCCCCCTTTTATACCACAACACTTTTAATACACCCTCATAAAGTAGTTCTAAGTTAGAAACACGTTCAGTTGTCGTCTGGAACAAGTCAGATACGTTGATAGCCGTTGGAGATAAGTTATTGATAAGTTAAGCATAAGTTATGCAGAAGTTACTCATAGGTTTTGGTTAAGCTAGACACCACACATTATGAGTAACTTACACTTAACGTTTGTCAATGATCAGACAACTTATCTGTTACTTGTGCCCCATGTATAGGGCTGGGTACCGAACATCGGTTCTTTTATGGTACCGACCGAAATGCTTCAGTTCTACAGAGTATCGAAACATGCCTCGTCTTTCGGTACCAAGTTTCGGTGATTGGCTGTAACACTTAATGTGATTGCGTCATCCAGGAAAAATACACAGGTGGTCACGCCTACAGCCAGGGTTCATGTGTATCTGTTGTGAACTGGTTGTGAGCGTTGTGGAACCCCTTTAAAATGCCCCCCAGGTCAAAAGTGCTGCTTCACTTTATTAAGACTGATGCCAGAAGTGTGCAATGCAATACATCGTGCACGGAAACAATTTAAGAGCAGAAAGTTGCTCGGTGTTTGACTGCAAGAAGAGCGGACCGCAGCCAGCGCGACCATCCTCCTCTCAGCAGCCCGTGGGCAGAGCAAAGCCAGAGCGGAGTGAATAATGCTGCTTTCAATATGGAGGCAGCAGGAGCAGCAAAATCACGTCTGCTGCTTCCTTTTTGCTGCTTGTACCAGTTTCTGGCGCGCGGCTGAAGAAGCTTTGCTGCTCTGGCTGCGCGGTCGAAAAGTGTGTCTGACGCGCGTTGGGCGGAGCTACTCTATCCTTTATTTGCCTTGCATCTATATTTGCTGTGATCAGTGGGAATAAAGTAGTTTTATTATGTTTTTAAGTGAGAAAATCCACCTGAAAACTTAATCAGTGCAGTCAGTTCATCCTGCCTTCCAATATTTCTGTCAGAGCCGCTCAGACCCCCACATACCAGCGGAGCGCTGTCAATAGGATCCCATTCAACGGGCTTGTTTGTCAGACATGGTAATTTTTCTAAAGGAAAACTGCTAAGTAAAAAGGTCCTCACAATGTAACAGTGAATATTAGACACTGATTTTTTTTTTTATGTAAGAGGAAAAATGTAAATGGAAAAAATCGGAGCCTCAAATAAAACTCAAGATTTGTACTTTTTTATGTTGTGTAATTTTCTTTTTCTTCGAATTGATATTATAAAACTGGTATCGAAAAAAGTATCGTTCAGGAACCGGTATCGAAGTGAAGGTATCAGTATTGGTACCGGCACCGAAAATTTTTGAATTATACCCAGTCCTATCCATGTATGAGCATAGGCTGGCATATTTGACGTACGTAGAAGTGTGTTAGCGTGCTTCAGCGCGCTCATAACCTATGCAAAACTGATTTATCCAACGTATGCCAGAGTTTTTGCCATATTTTTTGTATGTCAGGCATACGCTATGTAAATCGTGGGGCGTAGGTTTTAATTAGTTATAACGTCAAACCGATTGAAGATGGATTTTAATTGCAAATCGTATCCAATTGAAACAAAGAATTTTTGAATTTGTGTTTTTTGTACATTACCAGAATATCGACAAGGCTTCAATCAGAAAAAAGTTTGTCTTTTTGACAATTGTTCTTCCACATCGCCGCATTCCAGGTGTTCCAGGTAGGATAATGTGGAGGGGACTGTGTGACGATGGCATCTTCAGCTGATCTATTAACTCTGTGCAAGTACTGAGAGTGTGAACTGATGAACTGACATCAATGACTGTTAGTCATGTAAAATGTCTCAAACGCCCTTATGCTTGTGTTTATTTATAGCCTGGCTTTGAGGAAAACTAAAGGTGGAATTGAGAAGGCCTAAATAAGTCAATCAGACAGTTTACAAACACAAGAAGTTACATAAACCATCTAAAGGAACTTCTGCCACAAAAGGAAACTGAAGCAGACAAGAGCCTCTCTACGAGGAGCCGTATTAAAACAACGCGAAGGATCCGCAGCGGTGGACAGTCAGAACAAAGTCTTGGATGCTACGGAGTGTTCTTTGGATCTAGCATGCCATCTCCAAAATATTTCACCAATAATTCTTTTCTGCAGCTCAAAAGGTCAAAGGAGAGTCACTCAAGTTTTTATAGGAATGAGACGTAAAGAAAGCAGCCCAGAAATGGCCGACCACAAGGTCAGTGGTTTGTTGATTCAGAAGATACCAATGTATTTTTGATTCATTTCTGTTTAATGGTTTCTAATCTCTGTTTTTAAAATGTAAAAAGTTTTAGAACCATTTCTTTATTAGTAGTGTGAGGGTTAGAGAAACAGTTTGGCTGATTCAGGTTCAGCCGTTTTTTTACATTTCCAATGAAACTACACACCGACCTTAAAGCCAAATCTGAATGTCTAATGTTTTACCATCAGATACTTCAATTCAAAGTGAACAGATTTTTGTTCAAAGTCTTAAAACTTTTTTTTTTTTTATAAAAAAAAAAGATCAGCACATTTTTTACATCTTGAGACATATGTTGAAAATGTTTCTAACTTCTCACCCATGACACAACTCTGCCGTTAAAACAAGGCAGCTTGGCACCATCGTCGGAAATCTCTTCCTTCACAACCCTGGAAAAACAGAAAGGGAAAAGACAAAAGGTTAAAGCAGCAAGAACTACTCTTTTTCACAGCCTTAAAGTGATGCATTTGGCATCAGACCGTTACAGCTGAGTAGGATAGAGGAAATGCAGCGAATTAAAGAGTCTACAATAATCCTGAAACATCCAAATAAACTGCTTTTTTTGTAACACTAGTCAGTTTTATGAGTAAAATTAGACAGGAAATGGGGAAACATGTAGTATAGATCACAAACCCAGGATATATGCATCTCTGAGGCCACGGTAACGCTCATTAACCCTCATCAGCCTCACAGCGCTTTCTTTTCCACCATCATTATCCCCTTGGGCTTCATTGTATGTCAAATAAAACATTTGGCTCGTTTCAGCGTCATGAACCACTGCCATCAGCTAAAACGTCTTAATCATACTAAGAAGGTTTCTCCAGACGGGACTGATCCACGTCCAGCCGCTGTGGACCCTAGGCGCTCTAAACAAGGCGCGTTCTCCTCATAGAGGCGGCGAGTTTCAGAAGCATCCCACGAACCGCCTGGTGCTCTGCTAAAAATACGCATCTAGGCTATTTTTGATGGAGGATGTGTCGAGCTGCACACAGCAGATGAAGGCAGGCAGACAGTCGGACGTATGGAAAGGGAGTCATTTCAAGCATGCAGATTTAATACTAAAGAAAAGAATCCCACACACTTATTTACATTTTTGTTTGTGAAATGATACGTTTATTCACTTTCTTTAGTAGTTGTAGCGCAGAGTTTTAATTTCATACCTTCCAGGGGGATCTTTCAAAGGACAAACCCTAAACACAGAACTGACAGTACTTCCACCTCCATCTTCTCTTTGTAACGAGAAAAACATGTGGCTTCATTAGTCAACAGTTTTCCCAAAACAGGAATTCAAGGCAAAAAGCTTTTATCAGTTTATTTTCTCAGCGTCAACAACTGGGATGTATCTGAATGTTGCTGCTCTGGGTTTTTGCAAGCAGCTGGTTCTGTGGGAGAGGAGTAGTTAGCAAAACAGATTGTTGTGGACCCTGGTGGGAATCCGAAGCAGGACTACACACCCAAAGGTTTTTCACACAGTACATAAATGAAACAGATGCATGTTAGAGGTACATATTGTTTTAAAGCTGGTTTTGATCCAGTCTTTAAAGCTTTAGGTTGCTAAAACCCACTTCACGTCATTCTTCCTGCTCTTACATTCCTCACACTCGGCACCATCTGCTTTTTAATCATTTATCTTCCTCCAGCGGCTCCTTGATCATCACCGACAGCACACAGATGAATATCCCGTAACTTTAACTGAACACTCCCCTCCACTCATTTTTCCTCCTGTAGACAGCCTACACACCCAGCAAATGGTCCCAGCACCAGTTCTGGCCTTCCTCCCCTCCCCTACCGCCACACACGAGGCTCCGGCCGACAGCTGGCCTCGTACCAGGGCAAATGAAAACACACACTATTACCATTATCCAAGAGGAGGGGGGAGGAAAATTACCCCAGCTTTGATTGGACAGCTGACTCTGAGGCAGTACGGTTAAGAGTTCGGAGCAGTCGGCTTGGTTGGGATGTAAAGACTGGTCTTTGGTTTGACGTTGGAAACGTGTGCAAACATACAAGACAGAAAAATTCTTACATTTCGAACCTCATCGCACCTAAAAACAAAACTGAGGTAATAACTTTCAGACCAGTGAGCTCACAGCTTCCCCTACTACAGCTAGAAACCACTGATTATGGCTGAAATAAAGGACTAATGCTCAAGCAGGATCTAGAAAAACTCATTCATGCATTTATCTTTATTTGAATTGATCACTGCAACAGTATCTTCACAGGTTTGCCTAAAAGGTCCATCAGAGAGCTGCAGCTGATCCAAAACGCTGCTGCCCATGTTCTCACTAGAACTAAGAAAGTAGAGCACATCAGACAGGCTCCCTGTAGCTCAGAGAACAGACCTTAAAATCATTCTGTTAGTCTATAAATCACTGAAAGGATCAGAATCTCAATACATTTGATGTCACTATCAAAGTTTCAGAATATAAACAATTAAAACTACGTTTCAGCTCAAAATTGTCATCATACTTCTGTTAGTGGTTTTAGGTGTTTTTGTTTTTCTATTTTATGTTAACCAACAAACTTCTACAGAATGGAAGTAAGATGAATGTTCTGGAGTGTCCAATCCAGAGTCCCAACTTTAATCTGGGAGAGGATCAGTGGAGGTTGCTGAAGATAAACTGTGATGTCCCAGAGGATGAATCTGAAGGTATAAATATAACAAGCATGCAGGCTGTGGACAAATGATGCCATTTGAAATGAAGAACTTGGATCTCATGTTGGAACCTGCAGCATTCAGGTTCTACATTAGGCACCGATTAGCACATAATCCTGCATTTTTAGGTTCTTAAAGTACAGAAAATAAGACTTAAGGAATATTATCGTTTGCTTAATAAAAAGAGGATAAAAGCCTAAGTTTTTATTTGGGTTTTATTTGCACAACTTTATTTTTTTGGTTATGTTTTATTTAAACAATTTTACTCTTATATTTAATTTAAAAGGTTTTTCGCTGTTGTCGCCTTAAAGAAGTTAGACAAATTAGTACAACTCATCCAATAAGTTGGTACCAATGCAGAGAACTCACCAAAAGAAATCACATTACAGAGGTTTTAGGGAAATGGACAGTTAACAGAGATGCTACACATTTTAAATACATTCATTTAGTTCCTCGAGTTCTTTTCATTAACTTTCAAAACATTCAGGGTACGTTCACACTGCAGGCCTTGATGGTCAATTCCGATTTTTTTGTGAAATCGGATTTTTTTTGCGTTGCCGTCCACATTTCAAAATATATGCGACTTGTATGTTATCTCCTGTGTGAACTGCAGTCATACAGCTTAAGTGTCCCGCATGCGCAGTAGAGGACGCAATGACGTCACAGGCCGTCGTGCTTCGTGTTTATGGAAGTAAACATGGACGTAGTGCCGGAGCGTATCTAGCGATCTTTCCAAACCTTAAAACCTCAATCATTTTAAGATGGTTAAACATAAACACTGCTTTCCACATCATCATCTGCCATGGTGTTTGTTTTTCTTGCCGCTTCTATGTAGCAAGAAGCAGAATAGTGACCTTTGTCGGGTATTAATGACGTTCTGGTCAGATGAATGCGACCTGGCCGCATTTGAAAAGATCAGATTCGTATCGGATTCAGGACCACATAGCCAAGTAGCCTGGGTCGCATTGGAAAAAAATCAGATCTGTGCTGTTCAGACAGCCATGAAAAGATCAGATAGGTGCTAACGTCTCTGTTAAACACTTTAAAAAACTCTGAAAATGGAATACGAAAGGTGGATTCTTGATTCTCGACGTCGGAGTACACAGAGTGAAGCGAAAAGACTACAACCGTGTAAACAGGCCCCATTTCCGTTTCCGGTGGCAGCGGAATATTGACTATTCCTACAGAACTCAATGGGATTTACAAAATGCTAAATAAAACACTACAGGAACGTTTTTTCTTCACGAAACTTTTTTTGGAACGTCATTGAACAGCGCTGACGACACGGTGAGTAGCATATTTTAAAAAAAGAACGTTTAAGGTTGTTTTAAGGACATTATCGGACATGCTCTATGCAAGCCATTCTAAAGCAGCCAGGGGGTGATTCTAAATGAGCCAAAAAGCAGAGACAGGAGCAATTGTCAAACTTTTGGTGTCGATCATTCGATTTCATCCTGGACACTACAGAAAATGGGCTTAAAGTGTAAAAAACCGAACTTCTCCTTTAAATAAAACATAACCAAGAGGAGGTACACGCTTTCCTAAGACCCGCCCTCTTCTTCTTCTGATTGGCTAATACTGTTAGTTTCAATGCCCTCCTTTGTTACCATTGGCTGACAATTGCAAAGGGGATTTTGATTGTCTTTTTTTTTTTTTTTTTTTACAGTCAATTTACTTTTTTATACCCAAGGGCAAACGCTACGAGCTGGAAATCTGGCCTGTGGTCGGAATACTTTAATCCCTGCACATATGAGCAATAGTTTGTGGTCTGCTGTAATTTCATTATCTGTAATGTGATTAACTAGCTGCCCCAGTGGATGCCCGGCCTTCATATAGATGATAATGGGAACTTCAGCAAACAATGGAGAGATTAATTATTTGCAATGAAGGAGCAAGAAAATAATTAAATAAGGCAGCCATTTAAAGCGTATTATTATTCTGAGGAAAAGTTAAATACGTCCATCGAACAAAACACTAATCACAACATTCATTTTTTTCCCCCACACGTTACCATAAAACCTTCAGCCAATTTAATTCTAAGATGTAAGATTTAAAGCCAATTTACTAAAGCCAATCAGCAACAATCATATCAAAGCTTCCCATCCTCCTAATGTCAAGCAGCTCTAATGTAGTCCCAGAGAAAAACACGCAGTCATCAAAGCTATGATGGAGCACTTAGATTGCTTTAACATTTACTTCTGCAGATTTTCTTAAATTAGGATGCAGATTTTGGCTACTTTACATTTGGCTTCATTTTGCAAGATTAAAAAAATACAACAAAGACAAATCTTAATGAATAGCAGCACAGGATACTTAACAAGTGGTGGGAAATTGATGAATGGTTTTCAACACTTTTTGCAGAACTGCCCTACCCTGCGAGTCTTTAGGGTAAACCCTCTAGCAGTTCTGCATAATGCACAGAGATTATTCTTATCCTTTTTTATGTGATTGCACGGTATCTATATTCAAAACTTATTTTGCTCTTCCTGTAGAGTACTTATATATTAAATTTTTTCACCACTTTATCTTGTCCTTTTTTATACACTTTTCATGTCTATACTAGGGCTATCAGGCGCTTAAAAATGATCTAATAAATGTAGGAGTGGATTAATCTATAATTTAAATAAATATCAACTAATTTATTAATCAATTAATGGTTAAATGGAGTACAGAGACTCTAAAACATGTTTTTAGCTGACAGAGCGACCCACTTAAAGCAGTAATTATGCAAAATGTATTTATTTAAGATAAACTTTTTCATCTGTCAATATGCTCTATCAAGATCCCCACAAGAGGAAAAGGTTTAGTTTCACCTACTTTCATTCTTTGAAAAAAAAGTCTCTAAGATACCTTTTGGTATATGATTATTAATCGATTAATTGAAAAAAAAAATCAACAGATTAATCGATTTGTGAAATAATCGTTAGTTGCAATCTAATTGATCGAATTTTAATCTCATATGCGCTAAAGCAGTTCAGGGGAACAATTGTCCTAAGGGTCGCAGTCCTTTAAAGCTACAGTGTGTAATTTTCAGCGACATCTAGCGGTCAGACTGCAGACTGCAGCAACATGAACATCTCCCCCCCACCGCTTCTCCCCCACAACAGTACGGCGAGCGTTACGGGACAAAATGTCTTCCACAACGTCGGAATCACCTACCTTCTCAAGTAATGAGGTTTGTTTACATAGATAATTTTACAGATAGTATTTCATTAGTCTGTGTAGGGTATAGATTTCATGTAGACTTAAGATAATAAATATACCCGTTATTTTTTCTACGTCGTTGTGACGTTTTGGTGAGCTGCTTTGCATGGTGATATAAACAGACGAAGTAATTGTAGTCATTAGTTTAACAGCGAGATTGTGTTCGCTGGAAGAATATATATTCCCCGTTTACAGAGTCCAAGTCATTTTGGTGGCACGGGGGTTACAACGCGAGGAAGAGGGAAAGGACGAGGGAGAAGGCAGGGAGGCCGTGCAGCTAGGGCCAGGCGAGGGAGGGGTGCCAGCGGGGTGAGAGCAGAGGACGAAAGGCTTGAAGATCTCCAAAGGAGCCGGAGAGAAGTAACCGAGGTATATATCCAGAAAATTTTTTTACAGAAAATTACTGAATCATTACCTATGAAACGTCAGGGACGTTGCTGAATAAGTATACTGGAGAGTAACAGCATCATCACGCAGCATGTTATTGTTTTAGACAGGTCTGAGCATCCTGTACTCCAAAAACTGCAGTGATATTAGACAATTGTGTGTGTAGGATTAATTACCTGTCCAACAGAAAACTGGCAACTTGAGCGTCACTTTGAAAACCTTTTTCCTCCATCAGTGACTTCCATCGTGTAAATGCCGTGCCAATGTTGATCCGTGTTTTTTGTCGTTTCTTGTCACTCTTGCGTTTATTCTCGTCGTGTTTCCGCTTCTTAGATGACGGGGGTTCGGTGTCCGCCGCTTTTCGTTGTGATACAGAGTAGGCATGATCCTCCATTCGTCTGATGTTTGGCCACACAGTGCCAAACAGTTTGCAAAGTCACTCACGCCTGCCGCCTTGTTCACCTTTCTTGTTACTGAGGCGCAGTATACCTGCTTCTTCTTCTTCTTTGGTTTCAGGCAGACTAAACGCTTCTCAGGCATAATACTGCCATCTACTGTTCAGTACCGTCTCAGTTCATCTCTCTCAACTTGCCGTAGTTATTTTCGAGCGTCATGGGAGATCTCGCAATCGCTAGTTTGTTGCCTCTGCGCTTGCCGTAGCGCAAAGATGTCAGCCTCCATGGCTGCGAGACCCGCTCCTATGTAATTATAAATAACGAATTCTAAGGCAACGCAAATATTATGGTTAAAAGGCTGAGCTCATAGGTGATGATAAATAACATAGTTATGTATAATATATTAAATTTCTGACTTTATATGCCTGTAATTATTACACACTGTAGCTTTAAGTTTTCCACGCACCCCTGCTCAACCACAGCCTACTAAGCTCTGTACAGTGGCTCCTTGGTTAGAACTTTCCCCAACATGTTTTCCATTTATATATGTCAAACTGAAGACGCTTCAATTATAAGGTAATTGGTTTTTTACAATAATTACAAATCACTTGCTATGGTTGACAGTCCTGTCTTCATTCATTTAGATGTCAAATTTGCAGTTCAAAGGCTCTTGTAATGCCTTGCTCCCCCTGAGTCGCATCTGTTACGTCCACAACGCGCTTTGGCCAGTGATACAGGTGGAAAATGACAACATGTCTTCTGTTGATGTTGGAAAACAGCTTTATGTGCATTACACCCACCCCCTGCCCGGGGTCATTCAGTGGGCCAAATATGAACTGTTCATGCATTGAGCTGGCACTCTGAATTAATCATAAATATTTTTTATTACTCATTCATTTGGGGTGCAATTAATTAATCTAATTGACCGCCCTAGTTTTCATTCCCCTTTTTCTGCCAGCATTGTCCTTTATTCGATCAATCTTCCCCTAAAAACAGATTAGCTTTCTCAGCTGTAGAAAGCATCCCCAGAGCATGATGCTGCCCCCTCCATGTTTTACCCTTATAGCTTTTGGATCAATATCTAGTGAAGGAAATGCTTTAATGTGTCGTTTCCATTGCCTTTTTTAGGTTTTAAACTAAAGAAAAATATAAACCATTTGCAAACAGCGGACGTAAATTAAAATTTGTTCCCTTTTTTTGTTTATTTATGTAACAAAGGACAAAGTTTTCAACTTATGGCAAGAAAAACAGACCTAAAGAATATTACTTTTTATCATTTTTAACCTTAGTTATTAAGAGGAACCATCTGTAGCTATGTGACTGCAGGTTGCACCGCCCTGGGCTACATTTATGGACTGTCAGAAGATAAGAGGATTCCCTCACATCAGCTGTGTTTCTCTGCAGCTCCTCCACAAAGAACATCAGTTCAAGATGGGTAAATATGCTAAACATAAATACACAACTGCACACTATTCTGTGTTCTACTACAGAAAAAAAACAACATAAATGTCATTATCTTTGACTATGCATGCTTCTTCATTACAGATTCTGCTGCCATCTGACAAGGAGGGGGAAAAAAACTATTATAAAACTACAATGCATTTAAGTGAAGCCCTGAGGGTCTCACTGGGTGAATAAACCACAAACACACATTCCTCTGCAGGAAAATGCACAGCAGCCACACAGGGGAGGGATTAATTGATAGAGAAGAGGTGGAGGGACAGAAGAAGCCAGGGAATGAAAGGATGGCTGGCAGGCCAAAGTGTTGGAGAAGTAGGGAGGAGGGGGGAAGAAAACTCTGGCTTCAGTCCTGAGGGAAAGAAGGGGCAAGGATTTCACCAGATGATGGAGGAGGGAGGGAGGGATGAGGATTAGGGGTAAAAAAGAAAAAGCAGCAGAGACAGGGAATGCCTCCTATTGTGATGATGATGATGTTTAGTGAGAAATGTCCCAAAACCTACAGGAAGCCAATGATGTTTATCAGCAGCCCTTGTGTAGAATGATTGTTTTCACTGCAGATTCGGTTCCTGATCATGCATCAGGTTCACTTTGATCAAATAAGATTTTTGTACTTTTCAGGCAATGCAAAGAAAACTTTAGAGAGTAAAATCAGAGCAGCTCACCCAAAGTCTTGGTCCATAGACTTAAAGAAGAATTTGTAGTTTGGCTTGTTGAGGACCTGTTTAAAATCCAGCAGGGTGATATTTTCTGCAGCTATGGGGATCTTCACCAAGTACGGGGTCTCCTCTTCGTCGATGTGATAAATTATTTTGGTCTCCGCCATCTCTGCGCTGGTAAAGCTGGACGTTTTCCCGGACACAGAGAGGAGGGGGGCTCAGCTAGGTAGCTAGCGAGACGAAGCTCTGACGGAGGGGGCCGCGGAGATTTTTTCAGCACGAGCTCACGGGACACAAAGCTGTGGAAAAGTCCTCCTAAACCTCCGTGGGCGATTTTTCCCTCCTACCGACGCTCATTCCCTCCGTTACCGAGGGGCGGAAAACGGTAAAAACACGCTACATCCACACGGCTAAAACTTCCAACAACTTTTCCCCCAACAAAAACATAAAGAGGCGGAGGGAAAAGGGGAGGGGGGGTCTAGGAACGTTACACCGCTTGTTGCGGGCCAACGCGGCGTGTGACGTCATGACGTTGCCCCCAAAGTTTTCTTTTTTACGTGCTGTCCCAGGCTCTCTTCACCAGGTAGGGAGCTCAAGGAGTGCTAAGCATAAAAAAAATATTTCTTACACAGTTTTGATTTTCTTTTTATATATATATATATATATATATATATATATATATATATATGTGTATATATATATATATATATATATATATATATATATATATATATATATATATATATATATATATATATATATATATATATATATATATATTCTTTTTTTGAAAGTTAAGTTTCTGTTATGTTTATATCAGTAATAATTCAATTTATAATCAGAAGCCTCCTGTCTGCAGCACTGTCTGCGGTCACCTTCAGTTTGGGAGAGGTGCAGCAGAGTGTCTGCGGAGGGGCAGGGACGTCTCTGCGTTCATCCCCAACACACATGCAGAGGACCTAATTTCAGCCTCTACTTCTCAATGCGGCCAACCCGGGTTCATATCAGACCTGTGTTCCTTTGCCGCATATTTCTCCCCCTCTCTCGTACCCCCTTTCCTGTCAGCCTACTGTCTGAAAAATAAAGCCATTAGTGCGGTAAAAACTCAAAAAAACAAAGAAAAAAAGGAAACACCTACTCACATCTTGGTTTATTGTGTGATAGTTTAATGTTACGTCATAGTGTGCATAATGGAATGAAATGCTAAACTGATGCTACTACCATTTTCACTGGCGGGTCGGGTTGCCCGTGGGATGGCCAGGGCATTGCACAGGTTGGCCATGGCCACCCCTGGCCACCCCCTGGTGGTGCCTCTGGGGTCACTGAAAAAAATCTATTTTATTGTACATTTGAATTATAGAATTTAAAAAACCTTTTTTGAAAAATGTCTTTTAATTGTACATTTCATGTATTAAACACAAATGTATTATCAAGTACTATTTCTAAATGAATATTTATAAAAAAAAACTATTTATAAATCTCATTATAAATATCTTTCCTAATCACACATTTAAAAAGGAAATACTTTATTCTGTTTTATCTTTTCATTTACCCTCTCCATTTACCTTTTTCCCTTCTGGTCCCTGAGCATACTGAAAACCAGATAATCAAATCGCAGTTGCTCCTCAGATGTAACCAGCTCTCTCATTGGTTAGACCGCCACACTTAGTTTAAAAATGGATTAATAAATACAATTTACAAACCCTCTTTATTAATTCAATTTAAATTTTGCAATTAGAAAACACCTTAAAAAATTGATTTCTAATAGTATGATTGAAATTTTTTTGTTTTTGTTTTTTCAGTGACTCTCCTGGTCCTCTGTATTCTCAGGGTTCCTCTGTGGAAAAGTAAAAGAAAAAATCCTCCTTGTTAAGGCCTATGTTCTTCAAAGTTTCTGCATTTTTTATGCAAATAAAATATTGTACTATATTTATAAATGTATTGTATTTGTTTAATAACACTTTTAACGAGAGAGATAAGGAAAGGTGCATTTTAATGTTAATGAATGTTGAATTTTAATGAAAATAATAAACGTCAGAATGGATTTGATCTTTTTCTACATTCTCATCTTAATTTTTAAAATAGATTAAAATTCAGCTGAAATGTTAATGATGAATATTATATTTATAAAAATGGTTTCAAATGATTTCTGCTAAATCTGCCTATCTTGAACAACTGAACACTTCTAATAAAAAGAAATATAAATACATACAGACACAAAAAGGGTAAGTGCACAGGATTACCTAACCATTATGGAATCTAAGGGCCTGCAGAAAACTTCTGCTTATTTTTCACCCCAGGAACTATTTTACAAATTAATAATAGGACAAAGGGAAGATATTAGCCTGGGTGCCAGTCCGAACTTAGTCCCGCCCACAAGGTTTGAGTTCGGGGAAGTTCGGTCTGGCTCTGCTCCATAGTAGCGCGAGTATTAAAGCCCACTGTTAGGCGATCCAATCAAATTGTCAGGGCGGGCTTTATACGATGATGGACAGATGATCAAGAGTAACGTTATCAACCACGTGACCAATGCGCGCTTGGGTGACAACAATAATGGCTGCCGCTGGAGAGTTTGGGTGAGTAGATTCTGCTATTAGGTCTATTCTAGAAGATATCGACAGCAAATTAATTTTAAAAGAGGAACAGAGAAACGCGATCAAGTCTCATCTTCTTATTCTAGGCGTGAAACTGCACGCTTTGATTTTTGTGGACAACAACTATGCCTCGCTTAAGATAGGTCACGCACTCCTTTGCTCTTATTGGTTGTAGGTCTATCCAATTGAGTGCAGAGGCATTTTTTTCCCTGGTTCGTTCAAAACACGCCCCATAATCACAGCTCTATGGAGCAGTATCAGACTCATATTCTGACTAGAATTGAGTCGGACTACGTCAGGCTAGGAAGATATATGTGTTGCTGTAGTAATAATTATGATTATAATATGAAAAAAAAAAAACAGTTTTACACTGCTGTGCCTTTTGACATTTGGGTAGGTAAAGCAGAAATCGTTAGCAGAACAGTTATCGTAGAATTACATCCTGTGTAATAACATTTTTAAACCTCGCTTGTAATTAAATAAAAGGTTTCTCTAACCGGCCACTTAATTAGGTACACTTTCTACTGCTAGTTATCACAGAGAGCATTGAGCACTGTATTGTTTTTTTGTGCCCTATGAAGTGTTTAAAGTTTTTTTTAGAAATAGCTATATTATTACTGAGATTTTCCTGCACAACCTTAACTTAGATTTACAGAGAAAATATCCAGTGTACAGTAGTTGTTTGGACAAAAAGGAGCTTTTGTAAGGGGGGAGAGGGGAATGGACAAACTGGTTCCAGTGGATAGAGCGACAACAGACGTTCATATAATTACCCTCATTACAACCAGATTATGTAGAGACCATCTTTCAGTTTTCACTCCTGTCAGCTGGGAATGGAAAACTGAGGCAGCTTTCACAGATTCTTACTTTAATCGGACCATGAAAGTTTGGGAAAAAATACTCCCTGGTCAACTGAGTCGGAATTTCATCCACAATATTCAGATGGTAAACCACATTTAAGCAATGATCATCAGGTTTTTTCTGCAGTTCAGGCTGCTAGTGGTGCTGGTATTATGGTAAGGGTATCATGGCGCAGTAACTCTTCAGCAAATATTAAACATCTTTTAAGCATCACAGCCTTATGACCCACCATCCCTATAAGAGAATGTAGCCATTTTATTATGGCCATAGAAAAGAACATGAAAACTGGTATTTTGTTCTTTATCATCAGATTTATTAATTTATTAATTTAACCTTTATTTTTTCCAAGAAAGAAATCCATTGAGATTGGGAATATCTTTTACAAGGATGTCCTGCCCAACAAGTAAAAAAACATACAAGGTACAAGACAACATGCAAACATGAACATTATTCATAAAAGTAACAGTTAAGTTGAATTATTTACATTAAAATATAAAGAAATAAAACATAAAACACAATAAAAAAATCATGAATAAATGTTACAGGTGCAAGACCAGTTTTTAGTTTTTGTTAGATAAAGGAGTAAGAGGCTCTAGCCTCAGCTTTCCTTACTCCGTTATGCACACAGGGTACCTTAAACCACAGCCAGCTACTGGACCTGAGACTGTATGTGTTCTGGAAAAGGAAAATTAATAAATATATGATGGTAATTTTAATAAAATGGCTTTGCATATAAAATATACCAATCCTCCATTCTTCAAAATGTAGTGAAGTAAATCCAGCAAGAGTGAATAAAGTACAACGGTGAGTCGTATGGGAATAAACCTGTGATATACCTCAGAGCAACATGGTAAATCGGCCCATTTTAGCTAAAGTAGTTGGACAAGCAGCATAGATTGTTTCTCATTAGTCTAACTGTGATTTAAAAAAAAATGCATGCTTTTCTTTTTAAACAAATATGCAATTTGGTGTTTAAAATAAGGGTCTTTGTCTAGCCAAATAATAATGCATCTACAACTTCTATGGTATTACCATCCAGGGTTTTAATAGGAGGGATATTACAGCAGAATTATGAGAAACAACATAGCTTTGGTTTAACTGGCATTGATGACCCGCTGTGACTCACAAAGAGCCTTTTGAAAGCTGATAAAATCAGGCTGATTTAGCGTGAACTGCATCTAGAGAGGGTCCAAACGAATATAGAATTGTATCGTCTGCATACATACGGTAAGAGGAGAATTTAAGCTGATCACAGAATTTGATCAGCTCAGCAGAGCAGCTTTATGATGGCAGTGGTGGACAGTGACAGAGTACATTTAATTGATTACTGTACTGAAGTACATCTTTACTTCACTTGAGTACATTTCTAAGAAGCTAGTTGTTACTCGTTCCTTTTGGCTCAGCTTAACTTTGCAACCCACTGTTGCTGTTTTTCTCTCTTGAAATGCAATTGGCCACATTATGTCTCTCACAAAGTTCCTCCTTAAGAACAGATATCCTCAATGTTTTAGTAATCTCTCTTTTTCAACACACCTCGGTCAAATGTTAATTCATTAGCAAACAGATGTGAAACCTTGACATGCTGGGGATGTAGTAGCACCTCCAGGGAGAAGAACTAAAACCTGCAGCCTTTGAGGACTGAATTTGGACTCCACTGTTTTAAAAATGCAAAGACATTCCACTATGTGAGAAACTCAGGGTAGATATTATTTGTAGTTTATACATTTTATTAAGGCGTTACTCTCTGCCATGTGGCCAAGTTGTTCAGTAGGATGAGTTCTCAAAGCAGAGTTCTAGTTTCTTTTTAGTAATAGATTCATCAACCTTAAACCTCTTTTCCATAGTGAATGTCTGAGGAGAATCAAGGCACTTCTGCTTCCCTTCTTTGTGTGTTTAAAAAAAAAGAAAAATCAGAATAGCTGTCCTTATTTTTTGTGGCACCTTAATGCTAAAGTTCTTTACAGGTAGTGTAGAATTGGTAACAGGTGGTTCCACGCATCAATACATCAGCTGGTTTCTGAAAGTACTTTTCAAAAGTAATTACTTTGAACTTGAACTTGAGATTTTTGACTGAGCAACTTTTACTTGCAGTTGAGTAAGAGTATTAATACTTTTACTCAAGTACTATAATTGAGTTCCTCGTCCACCACTGTGTGAAGGAATGGAAAATCTGCACCATGGATGTGCAACAGACCTGTCCAGGTACTATATTATGGAGATAGGCACCAGCACCCCTCTTGACCCCGCTTGGGATAAGCGCGACGGAAAATGGATTGATGGATGGACGTGCAACAAACAGGTTTGTAGCAACTTTTGGATAATATCATGTGTAGCAAGATTTCTAAGGAATGTTTCTGGCACCTTGTGAATCCAATAAAGTGGGCGACTATACAAACAACACACTAGAGGGAGCTCTTCCTCCATGTAAAAAGAACGTAGCAAGAACAGCAATCATCTACTCTTAGGACATCTGTCACTAATTTCAGTTTCTCACAGTCTAAATAGAAACAACTTTAAATTAGTCTTTATGAGTATCTGTTATTGAAGTAACCGGTTAGAAATGCCTGTTAAAGAAATGTGGGCCAAACACCACGCCGACTACACAGGTGATCACAAACAGCACCCAAAAGATGACGGCCAGGAGCTGCACACACATCAGGGTCCTTCTGCTCTGTTGAATAACCCCCTCCTCGCCCACCAGGCCAGGAGCCGTTCCATACGGCCTGTCTGGATGCATCTGCTGGACCTGCAGGCTGACTGTGGGCATGATGATATAGCGGCTATCACTGCTGTTGCTGTTGCTGTTGCCGCCCTCCAACGAGAGCATTACCCGCTGTGTAACTGTGGCCACGTGGGTGGCAACTGTTGCAGGCATCCGGAAGGCCACCCGGGGCAGCCTGGACATGATTTGAGAATTGCAGGGTAAAGCAAGGGCATTTCCGGTATGGAGAGGGGTTAAATGGCGGCATAGGGGACAGGGGATGGCTTGTGCGCTGCCGCCAGGGTCAGTGGGGTCACAGGAGTTGAGCTGGATCCTCTGCAGGCATTCTGTGCAGAAGACGTGGAGGCACTCAAGCATGCGGGGGCTTTTGTTATACTGGTTATACTCCTGGTAGCAGATTGGACATTCCAAATCCATGGCCTCCCCAGGGCCAGTGGTGGGGCAGAGAGCTGCTGCTGATTCTCCCTGCTGAGACCCTGGGACAACATCCCCCAGCATGAGGACTTGACAGAGCTGAACTTTAGGGAAAGATTTGGATGATTTTATTTTTGCTTTTTGCTTTTTTTTTCACAAAAGCTGGGAAGATCTGAAAAGAGAAAAAAAGGTCAAGAATAAACTGTTATTCCAACTGAAAGAGTTCCAGGAAATTAGGCTGTTTGTAACCAGCATGTGTTCCCTCCTTAATAACCTCTTTGTTTGTACAAGTTAAATGAACAGATTCAAGTCATGAGTTACGGCATTTCCCCACTTAAAGCCACTCCTTCATGCTGTGTGTGCATGACTGCACAGCATGCGGGAAGCAAAAGGAAAAAAAAAGATATGTGAAAGAAGCTAATAAGTCACTATATTCCTTTTTCTACATGTTTATCTGTGCCGGAGCACGTTCGCTGATTTTTGGTTAGGTCATTCAAAGGAGCTTTCTGCTGACTGAGTGAACATCAATAATCAGGGGAAGTACATAGAATACGACAAAGCCATGAAAAGGGAATTTACGTATAAAAAAAAAAACCCACAAAAAACCTAGATGGATAAATTACAGGAAGCAAGAAATGGAAATTGTTATTATTGTTAATTGGGGAACCAACTTTTCAAGTTCATCTGAAAAGTTTGGGTTTTCCAGTAAAACAGAATGTGTTCAGTTTCGCTTCTTTGATTTTAACCACAGATCCCACTAAAGATCATATGTTTACTCTACAATGTGACTCTGTATCATATATTTTTACAAAAAGGTTATGCTGTAATATACTGTGTTGTGTTGTGCTATCTTATGCCAGGCTTTTTAGCCTAAACTATGTTATGCTCTTATGTGCTATGATATTTCATTAACCTATGCTTCAAGTATGTTAACTCTATGTTTTGTTACAGTATTTTAAATGAATTGTCCCTATGCTGTAATATTTTTTTTTGCAATGCTATTGTATGTTATGTTACTCAACATTATACTATCATGCAACTCTTTATTTGCTATATTGTATTTTGCCATGCGTATTAACAGCTGTTTTGTTTTATTCTATGCAATACCGTGTTGTTGCCTTTTTTGTTTAATGTCTTCTAAAGCATTGCTATATCACTCTACTATTCATTTTCATACCCTGCTTTAGTTTTTTTTTATCCCATATTATGCTGCACTTTGCAATTGCATTACATGTTACATTATGTGCAATGCAATATTTGCCAATAATATGCGCTGATACTATTAGTGTGACCAAACGTCCGTATTTCCCGGGACATATCCGTATTTCACGTCCTGTCCCGGGCATCCCGGGTTTTTTTCAGAAAGTGAGGAAATGTCCTGATTTTTTTAAATTGCCTTATTTGGACCATTAAATTTACAGGCGCTAGGGCACTGCACACGATGCTGCGTGTGACGTAATCCCTGAGCCGCGTCAGTGCGGGAAGCCCTGTTCTTAGTCAGAATCTTGGCCGTTTCTCATGCGTTCTTGAGCGTTCTCGTGTGCTCGTGTACTCGTGACACGTCATCAGCCTCAGCCCGAGTAGCGTTCAAATTCTCGAGAACGCCAGATCGACAACCCACCAAATCCCCGGATGTTGTTCTCGCCCCGCCCTCTTTATCGAGCATGCATCAGAGCAGACTTGTGCGTTCTTCAGACTGACCGCTTCCCCAGAATGCCCCGCGGCCGCAGCTTGATTCGAGACAGCGCTCACAGTGGTAAGTTAAACATTCCCTTTTCTGCTGCTGTTGTTCTTCAAAAGTACGTTTTGAAATCGTTTGAGGCGATAACATTATACATTTAAGCCTCCCTGTGTGGCCTGTTTACAGAGTTAGTGCAAAATAAAAAGTCAGACGTTGAGCGGACCAGAGTGACCAGCAGATGACGTCACGAGTACGCTTCTGTTACAATACACATACGTGCTTGCGTGCTCGCGTTCTCGTCAAGTCCGATCTTCCTGCGTTCTCGCCAAGAACGGACTTGACGAGAACGCGAGTACGTACTCGCATTCTCGTGAATTGAGAAACGGCCATAGATTGAGTGGCTGTCAGTACGCCAACAACATGCAAAAGCGCAAATGTATGTTTACCAACGATTTACAAAAGAGTTTCCCCGCTTTCAGACCGGGTGGAGACAAATGGGAGGCCTTGTGCACAGTGTGCAAAGCAGGCACATGTGTCTCTGTGTCCAATGGAGGTGCAAGGGATCTGAAAAGCCACCTGGACACCGAAAGTAAAGATAGTCTATTGATATGTTTGTTCGTTTTTGGTACATTTTGAATAATTTTTGCTACACAAGAGGTATTTTTTGTTAATTAGCTCATTTGTTAATTTATTTTTTCCAATAGCCTACAGAACAGACATTATTTCGTTCATTGCTGAGGCTGAGTATCATCTGTTATTGGGAGTTGAGAGTTAGTAACTTTTATTGTTAAGTGAGGGATGTTTAGATGAGACATCATTTCTTTCATTGTGCTTTTCATTCATTACAGGAATTTTGAAGCATTTTTAATAAATACATTTTGAATGAAAGTATCAATTGTTATTGGAGTTATTGCTGTTGACTTTTACTGAAAAGCATTTTTTTATAAATCAACTGTAAATATCATGTTATTGTAGGATTACATAGGTCTATGTTAAGTGAGTGCATGCCACAGACATCTCTATCTCTATGCACGCCCCCCCACCCCGCTCCAAAGTGTGCTTGTTTTTCCTAAATCAAAATATGGTAACCCTAGATACTATGTTATCTTTCCTTTGTAAAATTGTTATGCAACAAATTCCATTGCTAGGCAACATTATGACACACTACATTGTACTAGTAAGTCAAGATATGCATGACTACAATATACTATATTAGCCAAGTTGCATTACATTACATTATATGCTGGATATCTGCTAGATTTTGCTGTTATGCTTCACTTTACAACCTCAGATTGTTTAACTATGTTATGCAATATAATATGAAAATATAAGCATCTAAGATTTATGTGGGTTTATTTTAACACTGTTTAGCTAATTCAGAATGTCCAAACTAATTTGAACCAGGTTTAAACCCCTGCTCCCAAACCCACCAGGTTTACCAAACATTGTCTGAGCCCTGATCAAAACAGTCCACCTCTAATTGCAGGACCACCTAAATTACAATTTCTGGCCGATCACTGTCTTGTCTCTTTGCCGCCAACTTCCATCTTTTGTACATGTTTACATTTTTAAACTATTTCTATTTTTTTAATAATTAAAAATTGCAGGTGACAACAACTGCCCTTCCTAGACCAGCTTGTATGTGCAAGCTGATGGAAAACTCAGACGATTCCATGAAATAGCACAATAAATGACCAAGAGTGTTAATGTATTCTCCCCTTTTGCCTGTTTTCTGTCTCATTTAGCAGAAAAGCAAACGAGAAGCATGCGTGTGCATCTCAATGAAATAGATGGTAAAGAATAGGACTGTTTAGGCCCTTTAACTACAATTTTTTTGCCATTCATTATCAGTAGATTCAGTTAATTTGTTAACATCACAAATCTTTCAATTTTTTAAAAGCAAAAACAGATGTTTTGGACATATGTCAAATCTTTTTAACAAAAATTTGAGTTATTTGGGTTAGACGGTTTGCAGGTAAAGCATCTCAACCAAAGCATTGTTGTTATGATTTTTCACATTTATTACATGTCATAAATTGCTGCAGTCCAAAAGAAGAAAAAAACATCAATAAGAACCTTTTGTGTAATAATCTTCCACTGTTAAAAAATACCTCACACTTTACAATTTAAAGTAAATTTGGACTCTTTGATATAATTCTTTCAGATTCCATGTGAATAATTCAAACTGTCCGGTACATGTGGCTGGTGAGTGCATATGCTCATGCTTAAATTGACACCTATGTATCTGCTGTTTGTTTACCAATATGGGAGCAACTATATGTCAATCTGTGCTCTGTCTTAGGCTGAGGGTGGGTTGGGGGAGGTGTGGTTGTTACTTCAGAGATACGGTCTCCTTTGTTACATCCCATGGCAACCTGAAACCTATCCTCTCATATTTCAACATCAAATTGCTCCTAAATTAGCAAAAACAAAAAAGCAAAATCAAGGATTGTTTTCATTTTTTACTCCATATAAAGCAAGACAAGTCTCATCTTTGCTAAATTAACTGAAATATTCAAAAAAAGAGACATCCCTTAAGACAGATAAGATGGAAACTTACCTGCAGTGGAGCGTTGTAATTAGCAATCTCTGAATCCTCCTTAAAACCTGCTTGGTGCTTTCCCTCACACACAGATTTACAAATCTTATCATGTCAGGGCAGATCACCTCTCGGCTCTGTGTCTTCAGGCCAAACCTTTGATATTCCAGAGCTATCTTTCTGTTCTGCCACACCTGATTCCTCTCCTCTCCTCCACCTGGTCCCTCATGAGGTGTCTCTTTGGCTGGAGCAGTAATTAAATCCTTAGTGATGAGAAGGTAACAGGCACACAAGGGACAGAAAATGACAGATCAGAGTATCTTTATCATGACTTAAAGTGCTCAGCTTGCACATTATGCCATTATGGTTCCTCACAGTCAGCGTGTTGTGGTTTAAAAATGTGAATCAGGGGGTCATTACTGACCGACGTACCGGCTTTATCTTTTGCTCTTGTTGATGTTAAAACAATCACATCTTACATAGACGATGGGAAATTTTACTGTATGAGGAGTTTATCTTAAAAAAAAAGAAGACAGCTGTTATGCACAGCTGATATGAAAAATGATCCAGAGCTCATTGGTAGAGCAGGTTCTGATAAGAACAGGGAGTAAAACTGAACTTGTAAAAACAAGAAGAGAAGCACTCAAAATCTTACATGTAACAGAATTAATTTCAACCCCATATTTTCCTAAGGTCAAAAAGCATTTATTGAACTTACATCTGGCTTTTTATTATAAGAAAATGCATGTAGACTAATGACTTAATTCCTTTTAAAAGTACATAAAAAATTGTTCTGTTAGTTTCAGAAATGCATGTGTATTCTGGTTCAAGATCAATAGAGTAAAATAAAAGTGCTAAGGTACATGTTCACAGTGGGAAGAAGTAGTGTAAACAGGTTAGTTATTTACAGCTGCAAAAGACAGTACAGCCTGTACATCGGGGCACCCATTCAATGCTTACTCAGCTATATTTAGAGAAACAACTTGTGTTGACTTGGCCAAAAAAACTCTGTGGGATAAATCTCCTATGGTAAGAGCTTGATATAATTCTCCCTATACTGATAGTTCAGCCTGTTTCTTTAACAAGGCTCTGCTGAAAGCGTATGAGTAAATGTCTTGAAAGCAGAAAGGAAATCTCCTTTTTTGAAGAGGACAAAATGAGTAATTATCTTTCCTGCAGCGGATAAGTCTTTAAGTACACAGCATAGGTCAAGAGCTTTAGTTGACAGTCAATGGAGCAGGAAAGATGAGCGTGTGAACCAAGTTTGGAGGCCTTAGTAACAGCTGGTGGACTTTTCCTGCATGGCTTCCTCTTACTCAAGTCTTTCCTGTCAGCACACTAAGCCAGCTGGGGCCAAACTAAACTAAAAATGACCAAATGCAAGTTCTATCATCCTAACAAAACTCCAGTCAATCAATCAATTAATTTCTTTATTTTCAAGTACAATTTGCATTGTAATCGAGATTTCAGTTTCAGTACAAACCGTTCACATACATTGGGCTGGGGGTGGGGGGGGGGGGGGGGTGGGGGGTAACAGGGGGAACAATTTACTGAGGCCATGCGTGCCGCACAATGTTCCCATTGGAGTGTTCCAATAGGTGCCAAGGGGGAGGTTTGATAAGAGGGGGGGCCAAATCCAAAATAACATTTAATGTTTTGAGAGCAGGCTGCACAGGAAATTTCTGTCAGCCTTCTGGTCATTTCTTGCTAGCTCCACATGGCGTATCCAATATTCAAATTTGTTGGGCTTTTCCGCCTTGAAGCGAGCGTGCACGTCCAAGAGATTATCCCATCTCACCTTTGAGTTCAACCACCGCAGGCACGACTCAGCTCACGGTCCTGCTTGTTCACTGCCTTTGTGAGCGTGTCAACCACTGCCGGCAGCCTGATCAATGCCCAAATTGCTGCCGACATCCTCTGTAATTGTAGATACATCAAGTATCCTCTAAATCCAAACAGAAGAAATCCCAGTATCATAAATCCGAAAAACCCATACATCTTCGACATCCTCCAGTGACAACATTGTAAAACACACCATCCTCCAAGCCTTCCAGGAGTCCATGGTGTATCCCACGAAGTATGCCCTTGCAGGACAGGACGGATCCCCTTTTCCCTGTCTTTCAGTTGAGAATATTTGATCAACTGCATTGAAGGACCAGCTGACCAGATCCATTGTTTGAATCCGGGATATAAAGCGAGGGCTGTCTCTGAGATATTAATTTGATTTACTCTAATTTGTAATGACTCTGTTTTGATCAGTATGTTTTTAAAAGTTTTAACAAGCGTGGGACACGTTAAAGGTTTTAAATCATATCTGGTTCAAGGTTACAAGAGAAAAATCTCTTTATCCGTTGTAAAATATTCACCAAGAATCAACCCATCCATCCATCACGGTTAGTCCTTGTCAGGGTCGCAATGGGGCTGGTGCCTATCGTTGGGCAGTCTATGGGCGAGAGGCAGGGTACACCCTGGACAGGTCGCCAGTCTGTTGCAGGGTGACACACAAAGAGACACACAAAAACACATAGGCATGCACACACTCACTCACACCTAAGGAATTTTAGAGAAGCCAATGAAGCTAACATGTTTTTGGATTGTGTGAGGAAGCTAGAGTACATGGGTAGAACATGCAAACCCCATGCAGAAAGACCCCAGGCCAGGAATCGAACCCAGAACCTTTTTGCTGCAAGGTAACAAGGCTACCCACTGCATCACCGTGCAGCCCTTCTTCACCAAGAATGATCATTTTATTAGTTGGTCACTCATCTTCCATCCATGTTTGTCCTGTGTGTTCATATGTGGCGGTGATGGAGTGGAAACCTGTCCTTCTTATACCCTACTTATTCCCCCCAATGATAATTAAAGTAGGCTCAAACTTGCCAAACCTTGCACGGGACACTACACCAACCCACAGCTTTAAAAGACCAGCAGAACTTCACTATGGCACCAGATTGTACAACCTTCTGACACATTGTCCCTTTTTCAACCTACAGCAAATAACCTGATACTTTTCTCAAATCTTTCTTGAATCCTTAGGCCAAAACAAGCAATTCCTTGTTACTAATTTCAGTTGTCCAATGCCTCTCCCAATTGTCTCTCTTCCTTTCCCCAACTCACTTACTTGCCTGTCTGGTTTTGCAAAGCTGTTGAAGGAAAAACCGACAACTCAAATCGAACCCAGATATTGACCATTCAAATAGCAGTTCCTTGAACTGCTCTAACCTTGTCGTTTTCTTCCTCAGATAACCTTCTAGACTGGGGTTAAGAACTTATCTTCTTCATCTTCAACCATGTGGCATTCTAACATTATTAACTTGAACAGGAAATATTACCTTAAGTGTGGTGCAGTGTTCTCAGTGATTTCCAGATGACACTATTGTCATGGTCTAAGAAAGTCCACTTCATCTGAACTCTAAGAGAGGATCTGGGCCTGAGCTGGTAGCAATCAGTGGTAGTAGCTAGTGGTTGAGTTTGGAAAAATAAAATAACCGTTGGTTTGTTTTCCAACTGATCAAGCTCAGACTTCCAAGGAATTACATTAACCCAAACTAAACTTTGCAGGTATTTTCCAACCGCAGAGATTGTGTATTTTAAAAATTTGACGGAAGCTTTTGAAGGAGGGGTGTGACCGAAATGAGTACCGTACATTTGGGTGTGCATCAGTTAGAAATAGAGAACAAGCTATTCAGCTTTCCCAGATCAAAAACCTTCAAAATAAAAAAAAAATAAAAGCTTTGATCCTTGCTGATTTTCAGATAACATAAGAACAACCTACAGTGTAGAACAACATGTGAGAATTCACCTAGAGCTTCAATCTATTAATTTCAAAGAGCCACAATTTTGTTTTTAAAGCTTCAGGATAAGGGTTTCAAGGGTATTTCCAAACAATTCAACTTCATTTCATGTCAATCATTCCATGGCATGTTTTACCACTGGAAGGCTTTTAATACAGTTGCCAGTCTTGATACTAAGAGGGTTCACCCTAAGGGTAGATAGTGCAACTCCCAAAATATATTAAAAACCAGATATACACCTTAGACAAGTCTGTACCTGTTTAACACTATGATAATAGAATACATTTAGAGAACTTAGGCAGATGGCAGACTGGATGAAAGAATCCTAGTGTCATATAAGCCATCTAGAAAATGTGGTAAACTAAAACAGTTTCAAAAATGAAGGTCCTTTGGATAATTATGTATATATATATATATATATATATATATATATATATATATATATATATATATATATATATATATATATATATATATATATATATATATATATGTATATATATATATATATATATATACCTCTGGCAATGATTTTCCACTTGTGAAATTGATTGCCAATCAGGCTTGCCTCCTAAGTGGACAGTTTGATTTCACAAAAGTTTGATTTTATTGAAGTAGGGTTGGACGACATTTCAATAACAATATATATTGATCAAAAGGCATGTGGCGCAATAAAAAAAAAGGGTTGATAAAAGTTCTTTATAGAAAAACAGTTTTCCTTCCTTTTCATTGTAGCCTATTATGTCGGTTGATGCTACGGTCACCACTTCCCACCAACCAATCACAATTGCGGACCCAGGCATGCTGTCAAAAAGCACCAGTCTCTCAATCCTCAACACAGAGCATGTGAAGATGTCGCAGCAGGAGAGGCGAAAAAAATTAACCCAAAGAAGGGTTTCAGAAGCTCGCCAGTTTGGCAATAATTTTGGTTATAGCAAGTTAGACAGAAACCAAACCACAGTAATTTGTCAAATTTGCAGGGAGCCAGTAAAAATAACGTCTGGTAACACAACCATGTTTTATCATCTAAGCCGATCATACCCAATAGAGAACGAGCTGTGTTGCCCCGGCGCATTTCTACGTCGTCCGAGGAATCTTCAGGAACTTCTGCCAATACAAAGTAGACAAAGACAGCTTCTGTCTTTGTGATTTGAGTGCAGGGAATCAGCTCAAAATGAGCTGCAATCTGTGTCTTAGTACGCCACAACATCTGACCTCTGGTCAAGTCGCACATCCGACCCCTACCTCAGGCTCTCAATTCACAGCATAAAGAGAGAATGGAACCTGTGAAGTAAGTGTCTAGAATCTTTTAGATAATTGTCAATATTGATCAATATGCATTTTTTTAATGATATGCCTTTTTTCCATATCATCCAGCCCTAGATTGAAATTATATTGTGTTGCTTATGTGTTTCCTCTATTTTTTAGGACTCTCTGCATTGAGTTTGCATGTTCTCCCCATGCATGTGTGGGTTCTCTCTGGGTACTCCAGCTTCCTCCCAGTCCAAACGATGAATGTTAGGTTATTTGACTTCTCTAAATCGACATGAGGTGTGAGTGTGGGTGCATGATTGTGTGTCTTTGTGTGTCTCGTTTGCACTGCGATAGCAGGCAACTGTCCAGGGTTTACCCCACCTCTTGCCTATGGACTGCCGGAAATG